GCAGCTGGACGGCATAGCTAGTCAGGTTCATGCTATACGGCTTGAAGTAGTAGAAGGAGGAAATGCCACAGCCGATGACGATCCAGAAGGTCGACAGAAACCAGAAGCGGAAGGTGAGGATGGGCTCGCTGCAGCAGCCAGGTCAGTGGCCGGAGAGATAAGTTCGCCAGGGCTACTACTCTACTCACGTTGGATCATTCTCGAGGCCGACCGTCTTGGCTACCAGGGGAATGGGATAGTCCTTGAGACGCGGATCGACAAACTCGTCGTCGTCGGATGCAACAATCGCCTTGTTCAGAGGGACCTCTTTGTAGGCTGTCTCGGAGCCGTCCTCGACGTCTGGAGTTGCAGCGATGTCGAGGTCTTTTTTCTCTGGTTCTTTGGCGGCCATTTTGGCGCTGTGGGGGGACGATGGAGGAGGGAAAGAAGAAGAAGAGGAAGAACAAGAAAGAAGAAGGAAGAGGGGAGCGTGGCAGCTGCAGATCCCATGGGGAAGGCACGACCCCTGATTTATACGGTCACGCGATCGAGCATGGCGATGGCCGTTCAGCGCCTTCTCGTGCGCTTCGATAACGCCATCTCGTCGACGGACAAAGCAAGGAGACTAGCAGAGGGGTTTGCCAGCCCAGTGCCTTGGCGGGGTTGCGCTGCAGCGTCGTGAACTACATTGTCTGCTGGCAGCGAGCAAGCAAGGGGCCAGATCTAAGGTTATCGCAGTGGGTTTTGCTTGGTTCAGTCCAGCCTTCACAGCCATATTGATATCACAATATCAGAATGCTTCCACAGTCTGTCGCTGATATGAAGACGCATTGCGCATTCCATTCTAGGACTAGTCGCAAGACTGGCCTATCTTTCACATGGCCAAGTAGACGACTGCAGTGGTTGAATGGAAATGGTGTCCATTGCCGGAAAATACGCACCCACGACCGTCCGGCACCTGCCATCCGATAAGGGAGCTGGCAATGGCTAAATTCCGTTCTTAACACTAGTGAGAAGCTCGAGCCAGCAGGCTGGCACGACAGAAACCGGCCCAATGCTACCCCATGCGCATGAAGATGGCCTTTGTTTCGTTCTCCTGCGGGATTTGGTCGTTAGTCCACCTGCCCTAAAAAGAATTGACAGCCGCTAAGTGCGGAAAATCAGAAGGCCGAAGCGAGGGTAGGACAAACACTAGCACTTCTCCCTAAAAATAGCTGACAGAGCTCGATAGGTATATACACATCTCGACATTGGCGCTGGTGATGGCATCATACTGGGTAAAGGTAGCATCGGATGAGAGGGTTGCATTAGAACAAAGACAAAATAAATAAATAAATTCTTCCGCAATTCTGTGTTAATTAGTCTTCATAGTAGCAAAAATTGAACTTTAAGGATTCCTCTGCGCGTGGACACTCTGGCCCTTTTATATATGTGCTGAATGAGTCACTCGTATTATCGGGCGCACCACGATCATTGTCTAATTAGTCCGCACTCGGGTTGGTCCTCTCGTATTCTGTGCTAAACCTGCCTTTACTGCAGATAAAAGCTAAGAGAATGTGATGTGTGTGGCTTTTCAATCCGCCAATGATCCGTAAATAAAAGAGCAACAGCAACAACATGAACGCGTAATTCCTTCTCTTATCGTTGCTGTTAATATTTTCTCCGAAAGTAACTTTGTTCACATCTTGGCTATATCTTGGTTAAAGTCAGTTTTTAAGTTAGTGCACCTCAACTCAATTTCTTCGAGTATTACATTAATACAAACTACCCATCATTTTTATTTATTTCTTCTATTCAGACTAGTTTTTTATACTAGACAAACTCAAAGTGTGAGGACTTATATGGTTACTAACAAATATGGTTACTGACGAACTTGGGGAACTCTCTCTTCTTTTCTTAAACGACAATGACGAGCAATTTCGTGACTAATAACCAAGACTCCATTCAATGATTACCTGAGAATATCAAACTCTGGACACAGACAAATTTAGGCAGAAAGACTCTATATATACCAAAATTCTCTCTCTCGTTGGGATTAATTAATATCCCCTTCTTCGTTTTGGATACGGGTTGCTTCTCGCCGGCCCCGTTCACTCGGGCTTCCTACCATACACAACCCAACTAAAAGTAGATAGTTAGTTAGTGAAACCTCAAGGTAGAAAATAAAAATGAATATCAAATAATCGCCGACTTACAAGTCCATCACTGCATGGATCTTACGGTTCTGGATATCCCTCCGTGCTCCAGCAGCAAGAACTTTGACTTCCTCGGGCTTCCATGATTCATGTCTGGTCAGCACGGCCATGGCAGCGGCCTCGAAACCTTCCGAGACTACGACGCAAAGCCATGCCCCGATTTCTTTCTGCAGTCGATGCGATTCGAGTTAGTATAGTTTTGAAAGAAGAAAATAAAAGAGAGAGAGAGAGGAAGTGAATAGAAAGTAAAACGTACATAATATGGATCTTTAGGCCAGACACCCATCGGCACAGGATATTTCCGAACATGGATGTCCACAAACCCTGCTTCTTCAAACCATTCTTTAAAGTGTCTCCCCGGACTTGCAGGATACCCTGCTTTCTCATAAGCCTTTACAATTTCTGCGTAGTACTTCTGAAGTCCCGTGCCCCCAAGAGTTCCATCCTCAGACCTGATCCGTGCATCCCAGTCCTGAAACTCTACCTAGCCCCCGGGCTTAGTGCATCTAATTGTCATATTAGCGGAAGCTTAGCTGGTAAGTTAGATAAGTGCCTTACTTGTAGCATTCCTGTATCACCTTCTTGAAATTCCTGATCGAGTGGCCTAGATACCGGGCATGGATAAAGTCAAACGGAGTGTTCTCATATCCCCAATCGGATTCGATATCATCGACCACAAATTTCAGATTGGGTGGAACCCTTCACAGGCACTCAGCACTCTTTATCAGTAAGAGTTTCACAGAGAGGAGGGGTGCAACTAACATGGACGGCTGAATAGGACTCAGATCATTACCAATGACCTGAAGGAGATGTCTTAGCAGATGCCGTTTCTCTCAGGCAGGATGCTCACCTCTGCAGAAGGATATAGATCGGCTGCAAAGCAGGTAAGTCTCCGGCAAAAAATGGAAAGCTCCATTCAAACTGCTTACCAAAATCAATTGCCCATATCCCCGTCCCAGTCGCAATGTCAAGGACTCGCTGTGGGGATGGTCCAATAGGCGCAAAAATGGTTTCCTTTCCATCATTTTCAGATTCAGCTCATGGGCCATGTCCAGGCGATCAGACTCTTCTTCATCATTTGGTAAGAGGTAACCTAGTAGATATTTAATTAGTAAGGATGCAGAATTTTTAGGAATTTCCTGAAGATCTCACTTCCATCGCGATAAGCGTGGTAACGCCTGCCATTTTCAACGCGGTAATCCACCACAGAGGAAGTCAAGGAAGTGCTGTAGGTCGAGCTGCACGAGACGTCAGTCATAGCTGCATCGTTGTCAGTGGCCTATGATCCGTTAGAAATTATGATCGTTATAGAGATGATATTGGATTGCTTTTGCGAACCTGAGCATCCACTTCAATGGGAGGTTGACTGCTTTGATCATTGGGCCCAGTAGGCTCATTTTGTTTCGGAGATCCACTTCGTTTCGGAGATTGACTTTGTTTCGGAGACTCACTCTGCGCTGGAGTTTCTGCCATGGTAAAGTTGCGTTCTGGTGACAACAATACCTGAGTCAAAAGGAAAAACCCTGGCAGGGGGTCCTGGATGCGCGATGCGAATTCGGCATGATTGGGAAGAGAGAGACAGCTGCAATCGAATTGCTACTCTTATGCCCTTGTCTTCACCGTTAGTCAGGCGCTGGCCTGGCCAAGACTGGTCGCAGCAGTCCGTGTGACTTGCAACGGCAATTTTGTGTCTGAGAATGCGCCGAGCTGAAAGTGGAAACGAGCTACCGCCTCCGTCTGTCCACGGTGTGTAAACGGTTTCTCCAGCTAGCTGACAGCCCGCCGGCTGACTGGCTAGGCGGACAGGCTGCAGAATCCGATCGGTCGGTTTCTCAACGGCTGTCTCATTTAGCTGGATTCCCGGGGAACTACCGAAACGGTGAGGAGTTGGAGGAGTAGACTGTACGTTGCAAGAGTCAGCCTGTCATCGTCGAACATGTGTGTGTATTATCATCGCTGGCAAGACTCTTTTGCAGGACTTGCACAACAAGCTAGTCAGAGACTATGGACGTTCATCATTACCATACCAGACAAATTGGGGCCTTGAAAACCGTCGATCAACCGTTTACCGACCGTTGATCAAAATCGACATTAGAAAAAAGTCCCCCCTCCATAAACTACCCGTTTATTAAAATCTACCATTTATACAAATCATCAGTCAGAACTGCGTCATACACTGTCACTGCTCGCCTGTCACGTACCTCTCTGAGAATATCCCAACAAAAAATTTTCGTAACTTCAAGCACATGACCTCCAAGACAGATCAATAAATCGAACGACTGATTATAATCTAACTCTTAAGTGATTATAGGGACTAAACCAAATACTAGATCGACTATAAGCCAAGAAGACACTGGACGGAAGCTGAAGCACCGCTAAGTGCTGTTTATCGTAACATGAATCACAAACAAAACATAGCAAGACGTACGAGATCTAGCTCAAGCAAAGGACCACTTCGAAAAGCCCACTGCGAGATAACGCTGACGACTCCTCTTTCGAGTCTTCGACACAGCAGCAACAACGCCGGCAGTGGTTTTAGCCTTGTGGAGGAATAGTCTAGTCCCGAACATCAATTTCAAGGGCCTGATAATAGTGGAAGTAAGCAGAAATAGACCCCGAAGGCGTCATCGATACTGACGATGTTTGAGTTTCCATACTTAGTAAGTAGATGTCAGTAAAAAATTACATGAATTAAAAAAGTCAATCTAATCTGATAAAACGACAAAGAGACAACACGATTCTAACGCGACTAACGCGCAACCTTCAGTGCCGAAAACTGACAGTCTACCATTTCCCACGCCAGCCATATAATGCTAGGCATGAAATTTTTAATTTTATATTATGTGCAATTATGTCTAAGTATATCATACTGGATAGAGATATGGATGAGTCATCAGCCACGTGCGAGCGGCATCCCCCCTCAGCGTCCACCAATCACGATTCGCTTCAGCGATTAGATACGCGTGATTCGGACGTTTCTCCGACTGTCGATAGTGGAATAGCTTATCATTTATTCATTCTTTTGTTTACAGAATTTCTGGTCTCGCAGACCACACATATACAAACGCAGAATGCAAATGGAATTGCCGTGAAATAAATAAATAATGTACGATGCTCTCTAATCTGGTGTCTTGATGTCTGGTTATGAGTCTGAGTTCTACTAGCGGGTGTCGCCTTTTCTTATCTCGCCTACTGTTTCTCCACCTAACAGTCGTCCTACATTTTTAAATTTGGCTAGGTATATATCACTGTCGCATGGTTCATTGAATAGGACGAGCGAGTGACGATCTCAACGACATACTGAATATATGACACTCGTGGAATAAGATGACGGCCGAGACGATTGTCGTGATAGGGTAGGGCGACTGGCTCATCTCTGCCAAGCGGTATTAATATACAGCATGTTGATCCTGACTACAGCGCCGGAGTGCTGGGCCTCTCGACCGCACTCGCCATCCAGCAACACCTCAAGCCCGGCCAATCGCTCCTCATTGTCGCGCGCGAGTTCCCCAACACCACCTCGATCAACTACGCCTCGCCCTGGGCCGGTGCCCACTACCGCCCCGCCCCCGGCAAGTCTCCCCAGGTCGTCAGGGAAGCTCGGTGGGCACGGCATACCTACGACATCTTCCAGAAGATCGCCGCCGAGGAGCCCGCGGCCGGGGTCGAGTTCATGGAAGGCATCGAGCACTTCGAGAATCCGCCGCAGGAGTATCTCGACGCGATCCGGGACCCGGACAGCGCGTATGCCCACCTTGGCGACAGCCTCCGGGAGCTGAGCCCGGCTGAGCTGCCTGAGGGCGTGAAATGGGGGATCCGCTACTGGGCGTACTGCATCAATCCGCCCGTGTACTGCGCGCATCTGCTGCGCAAGTTCATCCTCCGAGGCGGCCAGACCAAAGAGTACACGCTGGCCAGTCTCCTGGAGGCGTTCCACCTGGCGAGCAACGTGACGACGGTGGTGAACTGTTCCGGCTTGGGATTCGCGGATCCCAAGTCGTTTATCATCCGCGGTATGCAGTTGACGTCACAACTCCTCCCTCGTTTCTGCATGAACATGCTTTCCTCTAACGACTACGATCTACAGGCCAGACTTGTCTCGTCCGCAATCCCTCCCGCACGACCGTCACACGGCAAAACGCCGACGGCTCGTGGTCCTTCTCGATCCCGCGGCCGCTCGAAGGAGGCACCATCATCGGCGGCACCAAGCAGCCGCACGACTGGAACCCAGAACCGCTGCCAGAGATCCGGGCCACGCTGCTCGCCAACGCCGCCAAATGGTTCCCCTTCACGCCGGAAAGCAACGGCCAGTTCGACGTGATCCGCGACATTGTCGGAAGACGACCTGCGCGGGAAGGCGGCGTCCGGTTGGAGGCAGAGACGGTCAGCGTGGTGGGGACGGACGGCCAGACATCAAACCGGGTCGTCGTCCATGCCTACGGTGCTGGCGGACGGGGGTACGAGATATCCTGGGGCGTGGCGGAGGATGTGAAAGGGTTGCTGCTGGAGCGGGGGGTGTTGCAAGAAAGGGCTGCATTGTAGAGTCGGTGAAAAAACGAGGTATTGATCGCTCAGAATAATACTTTGGTTCCAGCTCCGTCATCACTTAAAACTCAAGTGTGATGTCCGCCTATACATTGCTAGTCGTGTGCTTAGTCGCCACATCGGGATGCCGTGCATCTATGGAGTATACTTGTACGCACCGCAGCTGTAGATGAAGAGATGATGCATCTCAAAATACCAACATACTTGCATTTTAGTCAGATTCATACTAGCTAGAATTATACTATAACTATCATGATTGATTGATAAAGTAACTGGCACTCTGCACTGTGCAGAGATATTATATTGTAGGCTTACGCGCACGGCCACATCGCTTTTGCCACACCCGTAGCAGCCAAACATCGCCGCCGTCCAACGCGTTCCCCGCCCTGGGTGGACGACCCAGACTCGTCCACGGCCAAAGTTCAACTTCCACCACCGTTCTGACACACCTTTCCGTACAGTTCAAATTATTACTTGTCTCTCTACGTCCACGCAACCTTGCTTCCATCACATCCCAGAATACCGAATTGCACTGTCCCTCACCTGATCGAAGCACAACTAGACCGCCAAGATGCCGCCCAAAAAGGGAGCGGAGCAACCCAAGAAAAAGAAGCAAACGGTCGAGGACAAGGTGCGTCCTTCCAGCCGTCCACCGCACGACCTCTGCGACAAAATGGCTGACTTGAGATGACTGGTGACAGACCTTTGGTATGAAAAATGTACGTCGAGTCGAAAAGTGACCATCTGGCATGCGATGCTAACGCAGAGCGACAGAAAAAAGGTGGCGTAGCCCGGAAACAGATCGCCCAGCTGCAAGCCCAGGCCAAGAACAACAAGAGCGCCGAGGAGAAGCGGAAGGAAGCAGAGAAGGCCCGGCGAGCGGCGGAGAAGAAGGCGGCCGAGCAGGCCCGGAAGGAGGCGGCGGAGCTGTTCAAGCCCGTGCAGACACAAAAGGTGCCCTTTGGCGTCGACCCCAAGACGGTGCTGTGCGTGTTCTACAAGCAGGGCAATTGCGACAAGGGCAACAAGTGCAAGTTCAGCCATGACCCGAGCGTGGAGCGGAAGTCGGAGAAGAAGGACATCTACCAGGACACGCGCGATCTCGACAAGGAGAAGCTCAACGACACGATGGACAAGTGGGACGAGGAGAAGCTGCGCAAGGTGGTGCTGAGCAAGCACGGCAACCCGCGCACGACGACCGACAAGGTCTGCAAGTACTTTATCGAGGCGGTCGAGAATAAGAAGTACGGCTGGTTCTGGACGTGTCCGAACGGCGGCGACAAATGCATGTACCGGCATGCGCTGCCACCGGGGTATGTACTGTCGTTTCTCTTGCTGTCTGGGCAGCTGGACTAACGGACAACAGCTTCGTCCTCAAGACTAAAGAGCAGAAAGCCGCAGAAAAGGCGGCGATGGAAAATTCGCCTCTGAATGCGCTCACCCTGGAGGACTGGCTCGAGTCGGAACGGCACAAGCTGCAGGGCCCCCTGACGCCCGTGACCCCGGAGACGTTCGCGGAATGGAAGAAGAAGCGTCTGGACAAGAAGGCGGCGGAGGAAGAGGCGCGCAAGATGAAGGAAGCGACCGGTCGGATGCTGTTTGAGAGCGGCAACTGGCGTGCGGAGGACGACAGTGACGGCGAAGGCGAGCGCGGCATATGGAATCTAGAAGCGCTGCGCCGGGAGACGGAGCGACTGCGCGAGCAGAGGGAAGAAGAGCGCCTTGCGAGGATGTACGGTGGTGGCAGCAGTACCACCGACGCTGCAGGAAACGAGACCAGCGAGGCCGTTGCCCAGGAGGGCGCAGGATGAAAAAATACGCAAAAGTATATTTTATTTATTCTGATTTCCCGCATTTGATGATTACGAGCCAAATAATACCATACCATACCACTGATAGATTTTCTACGCAAGGGCAGGCAAGGCAGGTAAAGCAGGGCAGGGCAAGGGCAGCAAAAACGAAGCATTTCACATTCATTTATTCTGATTTTCATGGGACGGGACTCTTCCTGGGCTAGGGGAGAGAAATGATGGCATGCATGGCATGGATATGCCATCAGACTTCTCTCACAAACCATTGTTTTTGAGGTTTGGTTTGATTCGACAAAGGTATAATTTTTTTTACCTTTGGGCTTGTCTGTGTGACTGTCTGTTTGTATAGTACTGCGTACAAACAAAGACAAAAGTGTTCGATATGGCAGATCTGATTGTTCTGGTCTGGTGGGCAGACAGACAAAATTACAGACTAGAGAGGGAGAAGAAGCTTGCTTGCTTGCTTCTCTCACCAAATACAATACTGTCAGATGATATGATATGTATGATACCATAAAGTGCTAGCAAATTCACTATTCTTCAATTCGAGACAACAAGCTTAAAATACCTCCATCCTAGCTAGATATTAGCCTGTCGACTCCCTGAGCTCGCGCGATCAGGTGATTAGTCTGGTCAAATTGCAAGAGTCACTAATTACATTGACTGTTTTGTTCTACACCAGCTGCGAGGAATGTCAAATACCTACCTAGATACCTAGGTACCTACAAATCGTCATCATCTTCAATAGTACTACCATCGTAGATGGCATATTGTAGCAAGAACGATGGGATCTCACTCTGGGTTGCCGCCCGTCATTCCATTCCAGTCAATTCAATTATTTAGAACAGAGATTAATTACTACTCTTTCTATCCGCATGCGCTGTGTCTGCAGATAGATTTTAAGAATGGTAACAACTTCACAATTTGGTGGTATTCACCACATTGATCTCACGAGTATTGGTACGCCGAATCACTGTTATGTTTTCAAGGAAACCATGGGACGACGGCAGTCATCAACATTCACTTCAATTCACTTTTGCCTTGGACAGTCTCTGCCTTCGCAAGCTTCACAGAATTTTCTTTATTAGATTATTGCCACCAGTCAGCCCGACCTAGGTCTTGGTTAGTCTGTTAGCTTGTCTCCCATATATAAACGTCTTCCCCAGAATCTTCTGAGCTGCTGCCTTGAGACTCAGCGCGACGATACGATGTCAGCTACTTCAACTCGACGTCGATCCCGCCGTCTGGCGCATAGATCTCCTTCACCTTCACCGGCAATAATACCAGAGCTTCTTCCTGCACGACGTCGACGCCGCCGGGTCGAGCCACAGTCAAGAAGCTCATATTCACATTCACATCATCGAGACCCTTCACGCACAGAGTAGTCCCCCTCCCCTTCCTCCTGTTGGGTCAAGGCTTACAGCTCGCTCGCTCCTTCGAGACGTGCACATTTTCGACAATCAATCTCCCCCAGAGCAGATCGGAGGACTCCATCTCACAAGGGGCATTTCGAATCAGCTCTTGTATGACATGGTAGCCATCCTGATCGGATCCATGCCCAGTGATGGCAATGATGATGCCTGGAGTCTACAAAACGAAGAAAAGCAGATAGTACCAAGAGACAACAATTCTTTACAGCCTGGGAGGTACTATATCGTCTCGGAGTGTGAGGGGATCTTCTTCTTTCCTACAGGAAACTCTTGATCATGATGCTGAAAGATATATCTGATCTAGTACCTATCAAACTCACAAGCGAAACCGCCCTCACCAGAACAAGAAGTAAACCGTCCTCCGCATCGACGGAGCAGGCATTCGCCAATGCCATACGCGACCGTGATCGTGGGTGCATCATTGCAAAAGTCCAGAACCATCCCGTCAACATCCAAGCCGGAGTCTGGGACAGATTCGAGGCAGCGCATATATTTCCACTTGCCTACTCCGGTCTTTGGAACACGCTAGGCTTTGATCAACATATCACTATTCCAGGACCGGATGGCGACAATATTAACTCTGTGCAAAACGGTATCCTTCTTGGAGCTCACATACACGCCCTGTTTGATACTTATGCGTTCTCTATCTCTGCGAAGGTACAGTACAATACAACTATATTCTCTTTTGTGAGATATCATTATCACTAATAATCTTTGTTCATAATAGCACGGCTACAAGGTCATCTCCTTCCGCCCAAACATAGACAACATCGCAGGAACCTTTCTCCCTGGTGCATCATCATTCCTCACGAACCCCAACCGCCCTCCAGACGCCCTCCTAGACTGGCACTCCCGTCAGGCAGTGCTGACGAACATGAAAGGGATGGGGGAGCCTTGTTTCGAATCGGACTTTCCGCCCGGATCGAATATGGTTGGTCAGATCTTGAGAGGGCCGAAACCTGGAGAGAGAATGGAGTTTGAGCTTTTTATGAGGATGAGGCATGTCGCGGATGGTTGATAGTGAGGTATAGAATAAGAGAAGAGAAAAGAGAAAAGAAAAGAGAGGAGGAAGAGGGTGCAGTGCTGGATAGAATAAGTGACTGTACTGTGCATACATGCAGTTTCTAATAATTACTGACTATAAAGATCATACTGATCATACTTATTACCAACCTGATAATGCAAGTTCAAGACAGCGTTGATTACTAGAACAGGAAGAATAATACGTAGATTTTCTGCTCCATAGATAGGTAGGTAAGTAGCTCTACATGGTGATCAGATAAGTTCATAATTGATCAATTAATCAAAAAAAATGAAATGAAATTCATGCTTAGGCTAGACTAGCTCTGGCTGGTATCCTTATCATATCATATCATATCATTATCCTCATTCATTATTTTATTATGATACAGAAACAGAAACAATCGTAAATCCGTCCGTCCGTCCGTCCTCGTCGTCCGTCATCCGTCAATCAATCTGCCGTACACATATGTCCAAGACAACGAAATGAAATGACAGGCAGAAAGCAGGTACCTAACTAACTAACAGGGGTATAATAATAGTAGCAATAGCAATAGCATAGTATAGCATAAACAGGGATTGCCTGCACCATTCTCCTCCCATCAACTCGTCCTGTCGGTCGACTGCAGTCCCACTCTGCGTCGGCTACAGCTTCGTCCCCTCTCGCCCACTATCGCTGAGCCGGCGAGGTGTCAACCTGTCCGTCGCTGACCCTGCCGTCGCCGGTCCTGCCGTGCTCGGCCCCGAGCTGGCAGATCGCAGACCCGCCGTCGTCGTGCTCGTGCGGCTGTCGCCCGTCGACCCAGCCCGGCCCTGGTGCAGACGCGGATTCATCAGCCAGTGGATCTGCATTCGGATGCTGTTGACCGCCGCGTTCGTGTGCGCCATGTCTTCCTTGAGCCGGAGGCTCTCGTTCATGATCGCCATGCTGGCGCGCGCGTCCAGATCCGAGATGGCCACCGACAGTCGTGATACCTCCTCCCGCAGCGACTCGTGCAGCGACAGCAAATACGTCATCGCATTCGACGACGACAGGTTCGATGACCGGTCGATCGCCGAATCCGACGCCCGCGGCTGAGACGACGACCGCGAGCGACTTCGCCCCCGTCCTCCTGGCGAGCTTCGTCGCCCGTCTCGTCCGTCCTGGAGGAACCGGGCGCTTTCGACCAGCGTGGAGCGGATGTTGGCGATCCCGTCCTCGAGGATCTCGTTTCGCTGCCTCAGCTGCCGGATCGTCATGTCGAGTGCGTCGATGCGCGAGTTCTGGGCCTCGATGTACGGTCCGATCGTTACCAACGGGCAGCTCCGTTCGTGGATGGTGAGATCAGCCCGTTTGAGTTTGGCACTGCAGCCGTACTTGGACGCCTGGCACGGGTGGATGGCTTCCGGACAGGTGTCGATGTGCTCTGCCAGGGCGTTGCGGAAGACCACAGCCTCGCAGTCGGGGCATGTCGTTCGCAGACTCGGACAGAGCTCTTTTCGATGTTCCTAACCACGTTTTAGTTCGCCGCAACTGACTGCGACTGAAAGAATCCACCCACCTCTAAATCCTGCTCCATCACATCCTCCTCGCAGTCCTCGCACCGGAAGAGCGTATGCATGCACCGCCGCTCCGAACTCATGTTCTTCTTCCGGGTCTTTTTCGAGCACGTCGGGCTCGGGCAGTCCAGCAGCTTGTACTCGCAGTACTTGTCGACATGGGACTGAACGTGCCCCCGAGGCAGGATTTCCTTGCAGCCCTCGCTCGAGAACGGACAGCGCACGCGGACATCATCGCACATGTTGATCAGCAGGCGCGGGACGTTCATGAAGATGTCCTTGGTGGGGGCGCGGCAGGTCGGACAGGGAAAGTCGTCCGGGCCAGCGGCGGCGGAGGTGATGGCAGAATTCAGACATTTCTGGCAGAAGACATGGTCGCACTGCAGGCGAACGGGGCGGATAAAGGGACAATGGCAGATGGGGCACATCAGATGCTCGTCGTAGCTGGAGACGTAGTCGAGCGCCCGCAGGTCGACGGGCTCGTCGACCCCGCGATCAGGATCCATGTTGAGCTGCAGCAGCTCGGCGAGGTTCATGGCGAGGGGCCGGGAGTATCACCGCTATAAGTATTTCTCAGCAGAACGGCTCGTGCGAGGTCCCCTGTGGATGTGTTCCCTCACTCGAGGGAGGACGGGCGCGGATTGGAAGCAGGGTCGGTGGCTGAAACGAATGCTGCCGATCGCCTGCACATTCCCGGGGGAGAACTGAAAGGGATGTCGTCTGTCAGATGATGTAGAGAGAAAAGCAGCCGACGATGGGTTGTTATTTTGGGTCGATCACTGCCCGGCGACGATTGATGGTAGGTGAAGAGGGGTCGGAGTCGGCGGTCGATGCCGCGGCTCCCGGATCGAGCCTCGCCAGGCCGCCAGCGCCAGCCAGCAGCCAACTCCGACTCACGACATCAGATTGCTTCCATCGTCCATCTCCATCTCCAGATCTCGTCCATCTGGAGGCACGGAGCATTCCATCGTCTGCTCCTCCACATTTTCAGCCACGATCCTGAGCCACACAGCGGGCTGCTGCGCCTCGTTTCAGATCTGCCGCCCGCACTCCGATCCAGCTGGCAGATCCGATCTCCCATGGTCCAGTCGGCGTGCTTCTGCTGCTGCGTCTGCTGCTCTGAATCTTGTGCATTCCTCGGGAGATCCGTTCCGTTGCCACGCCGTGCCCTCTGTCAGGAATAAAATCTCCAATCGAGTCCATTCTTCACTGATCCGCCATGACCGCCAATCCGTCTCAGCTCTTCCTCCTTGCAGACCACATCAAGCTGTCGCTGCTGGAGCGACAACGGGCCATCTCGCTGAATCTCGAGCCCAACACCCAGGATGGGGAGATCTCGCGGTCCCTGGACTCCTTGCGGGAAGGCATCGAGGCCGTCGAGGCCGAGCACGCTCGGCTGGAGGCCGCCAACGACAGCGAGGCCGCCGCTCTGAAGGACCAACTCAGCCAGCTGCGCACGCAGTTCCAGGACCTTTCGGCGCAGTTTCACAGCAACAACACGCCCAGCGATGCCACCAAGACGCCCAATGACCCGGCGCTGGGCCCGGACTTTGCGAACGCAACCCGGGGCCCGACGCCGGCGCTCCAGCACCCGGTGCCGCAGCATCCAGTATCCAAATCGGTGCGCTTCACAGACGCTGCACCGGACGGTGATGAAGATGACGAGTACGAAGCTAACCGCGCGGCCCTGCTGCAGCCCTACCGCGACTCGCCGTCGCCGCAACGGGTCGACCCGTCGAGCCTCACGAACCAGCAGATCCACGAGCACCACGCGCAGATCCTGCGCGAGCAGGACGCCCAGCTCGACCAGCTGGGCGAGTCGATCGGCCGGCAGCACCAGCTGAGCATCCAGATCGGCGACGAGCTCGAGGGGCAGATTGCGCTGCTGGACGACGTCGAGGCGCACGTCGACCGGCATGCCACGCGGCTGGACGGGGCGCGACGGCGACTGGACAGGATCCGGCGGAGGGCGGGGGACAATTGGAGTTTGATGACGATTATTGGGTTGATTATTGTGCTGGTGATTCTGATTGTGATATTGAAGTAGCGTACTCTGTCTAGGTAGGTTGTTGCGGCGTTGGCGTTCTACACATCCTTTTCCTTTACTTTCTTATTATTACTCTCCTCGAGCTATATATCCTGTCTATACTGTGATACGGACATGAGCTTATTCTTGCTTGGCGGTTTAATTGGCGTTATGGATCGGCAGGTGGATAGGATGGATAGGGTAGGATAGGATACTCGATCGATCGAATCGTATTGTATTGCGGTTCCGTTTCTTGATTGATATCCTAGTTAATTAAACAGGGAATTGGACGGGAATTGGAACTGGAACTGGAATTCAGGACCAGTGCAATTGATTGATATATATGAAATTCAACTCAACCCCAACACCGGCATATTCCCCTGCGTATTCCCCTCCATCTTCTTCCTCTCCTTCTCCTTCTCAAAATCCACATAATAGCCCCCATCCTCCTGACTCATCCCTAATCCAATCCCAATCTCTCCACGATCAGCTTTCACCTATTCCCACCAAACAACCAACCATCAGCCAGAGTCCTCAACAAACACATATTTATCCCTGTAGGGATAGTGTAGTGCTTACATTCGCCTCACTATTACTAGCCAACTCCGGAATCCATTTCCCTTTTCCTTGCGTCCTGACGCTCTGCAGCACGTGGTCTTTGCTGGCTTGGTATTCTTTGTCGATGTCTTCTCTGTCTGTTGACACCACACCTTTATTAGGTGCTACTCTTTTAGAATGTGTGTTTGGGGGGTTGGAACGTACTTGTATCGCTCTCCTTCAGCGAGGATCTAGCTGGTGTACTATGGAAGAAGGAGGAGGAGGTACTCGTAAGTCCTCTGCAACGGATAGGAGTAATAAGTGTAGTGGCCGCTCTTAGGAAGGGAGATGTCAAGAAGCTGGGCATATTGTCCACTTCTGTCACAAGAACAAGAAGATATATATCGTGTACAGTGTAAATATATTAATTAATAGTCAAGAGCTGGCTGTTATCTGTTTGTTAGCAACCTGAAAATAAATAAAATAACAGGATGTGAGGCGTGTTTGTCTTCGGAAATGAGATCATTTCAATAGCAATAACAAGCAATCAATCAGGTAAGACATGATGCTGGAATTCACTCACCTAGCAATTCCACTATTATCCTCCTCCGTCTAGTTGATCTGGTCGAATCAATCAATCGAGAATATAAATATAAATATAATATCATAAACATACGACGAAAGATAAGAGAGAAAATATTCATTATATACGCAGATAAAATCTATCAATCGATCAGATGAACACCATCCTCTCCACTCACTCCACTCCCACAGTTCCAATGGATGTCAATGATATACAGATTTACTCCTAACAGTCGTTGGAGCTTAACAAATCAACAAACCTGATTGGTCTCTCCGGAGAGGAAAGGAATATGACGATGACGTCATGACGACGAAAGCAAATCGCTTTCATGAAATAATAATAAATTAATCAACTTATTGTCTGCCTATTGAGAATGAGATATACGAAAGAGATACGATACCATTTACGGCTATTACTCAATATGGATATCAGCTAGCCGACTACAATTTACTCCGTACTCGTTGTAAGGGTTTCTGAACAGCAATTTATGCTAGCAATTTATGCTCTGGCTACTCGATATACAGTCAGGCCAGAAAAGTTATCAACAAAAGAAAAGTGAACGGAAAAAGGAACGAATGCAACAGCCAATTCATGCATGCAATGCAATATCAGCAAGAACAAAACAAATCACAATGATACAGCCGGTATATCAAACAAGAAGCGATTTTGATAGATTCGGTATATGGCTTTATGAACCCCCCGGTGAACTCCACATTCCTCGGACCTTCATAGACCATTCAAACCGAACGACCACGTGACCGGTGGTCAGAATCTTCCCCCAAAACCACAAAATAAAAAACATGAATCGAAAACAAGCGAGGGCCTGGTCCGTTGCCCAGATATCAAGACAAGATAACACAACCCAGCAATGCAGACATGTATCGTTTCCGCCGTCTAGATCCCAAATCACAAACAAAGCCATTCCGCCCCAGACGCAACCCAGTGATTTAAAAAGAGGATATTTCAAAAAGAAAACAACATCGTAGAGGTTGACATCCCACACACATATCGAGCCCAAATCGCCAAGTAAACCAAAACGGGAACTCCAGACACAAGAGGCATGCGCTGTGAAAAACAAAAAAAAAAAGAAAAGAAAAGAAAAAAAAAGTCGCTGCGCTTTCTATACACCGTCGCAGCGGTCATGCACCAGGCCGAACAGATTTTTTGGTATTCTTTCCCCCCTGATCCGAAAAAAAAAGACCAAAAAAAGGTGATATCACATCTCCAAAAAAAAGGTTAGATGCAAGAAATGATAACGCATGCGCCGTCGCCGACGATGAAAGAAAGTTTTTTTCTTTTTTTTTCGTGTCGCACTGCAAGAACCATCCGCCGGGGTCTAGAAAAACAACAAGAAAGATGAAAAATTGTCGTCGTCGTCGAAGTATGTACAGACATTATTTTTCTGGTCGTATAATAAAACCGTGCTAGGACCCGTCGAGACCGATTTTCAGGCCGGACGTCGAGAGAAGAACGAATCCCCCGGCATGATGCAGATGGCGCAGGCGACAACGGAAGAAACTTAAAAACACAAGGCATGCCTATGGAAAGGAGACCGCTTGGCACTTGCACGACTGTGGACCAGTCGCACTCACCACCGACGCTGGCCGTTCTGCATCATGCCGGGGGAGATGGAGTTGGGTGGGCTGGACAGGGTCGCGCCAGTCTGCGGGTTGACAATCGGAATGACTTTCCGCGCGCGGGTACCAGCCGGCTGCTGAAAGGTAGGTTGATTAAAATTACTGTTCATGGCGGCCGAAGAGACATTATTGAGGTAAGGGTTGGCAGAGGCGCCTGGCGAAAGAGAGATGGTCGGGGTGACTTGTTGCGCGGGCTGGATCTGGTGCTGCAGGGGAGACGAGTCAGGTGACCCGCTGGATAGGGACGACCGATCCGAGGCGGAAGAATGGATCGAGAGCAGCTGCAAAAACCGTCAGCATCGCCGTCCACAACGAGAGTCTCCGGGGCGAAAACGCTGGATCCGGGGCTGGGTTCACGCACATCATCCTCCGTCAGCAGGTTGGGACAGAATTCCAAGTCGTCGTCCAAATCAAACGACCGACCCGCCTCGAAGCGCAGACGGAAGGCCGTCACCGTGGGCGCTTCCGCCAGCTCCCTCATGCTCTTGACACCGCGGAATTGCCGTTGAGTGTTCTGGGAGGCCATGCGAGGCCCTCTCCGCGAGCGGCCGCCGTGGTGGTTGGTTGACGGCAGATGGGCAGCCTGCGCGGCATGGTGCTGTTGTTGCGCTTGCTGGTGTCCGTAGAAGTAGGCCGACATGGTGACGAGACGATGGGGAAAAAAAAAAGGCGGTCTTGATTCAGGCACAGATACGGAGCAAAAGCGGAGCTAGATCGACATTCAAAAGCTAGAGACGGAAGAAGGAGCGGACGAGGTTGGGCGAAGTCAAGAATCGTTAGATGGCGAAGAAAAGATATATAGAACAAGAAAAAGTAGTGGAAGGAGAAAACAGAGGGAGAAGAAGAGAAGATCAAAGGCGAAGGTGGGAAAATACAGTGGCAGTGACAGCGGTGAAGGTGGGTTGTGCGGGATGGGAAAAGAATCGATGGCGGGACGGCGAGGATAGAAGAGGGCCGGGTTGGGGAGAAGGAGAGGAAGAGAGGCGGCCGCGAGAGGCGACGGGGAGGGGCCCGTCGGCGAGTGGGGATGCGCTGCGCAAGGGCGGTAGCGTTCTCCGAATCTGGACACGGCAATACGGGATTGCGCTCTGGGTCGGCGGCGTTTCGCTGCAGGAGGCTGTATTGTTACCGTCACAGCGGACCACGGCGCCGCCGGCACTGCCAATCAGGGATGGCCTGGGCTGGCCGAGCGTGCAGCTGCGCCAGTGGCGGGCCAGCCCGGCTGGCCGCTAGTGCCGCAGCTGGCCAATCGCACGCGGCCGTCCTCCAGGCCGGTGGAGCCTGTATTGTCAGCGGCCAATCCTGGCGCAGGGCCGGCGGCTGCTGGCGGAGGACAATGGACGCTGCATGACGTCGACCATCCGCGTGCGGCCAGTCTGGCTGCTGCGCTGGCACAACCAAGAAGAGCTAGAATCGAGTGTCCAGACCTAACGTAGGTACAGGCATGAATCTGACCATGGATGCAGTCAAACATGGGCAATGAGTGAGATAATCCGGTACCTGCTACTCTCGTCCGTGCTGAATCAAATTGTCGACTGAGGGATCCAGACAGGTACCTGGACCTGTGGCTGTGTATTTACTTGTCCACCGTTCTGCACCAGTTCAAACCAGAACAGAGTGTCGAGGATACGAGTATAGGAATGCTATTGCTGCCACTGCATTCCTCCGAGCCAGCGGGCCTGTGTTTGTGTTGGCGCTGGGCGGCGCCAATGAGCGCGGGCCAGCCGGGATTCGATGCTCTTCCAGCACCCGTGACCTGCAGCGCTGCCCCGCCAAGTCCCTGGAGCATCCCTGCCGCGCCAGCAGGGCTGAGCCCTGGCATTGGCCGGCATCCTTGCCAGCTGGCCTGCGCCAGCTCCAGGCTGGAGACTCACGTTCGCCCGGCTCGACCTGCCTGCTGCGTCGGCTCGTCTTCCCTCCCAGCCACCACCTCCTCCACGAGGCTGGCGTTGAGGTCAGCATCAATCTCTGATCGTGAGCATCGTTGCGTATCTGGATCTGGATCTGATATGCAGCGATACCAGGAGACTCAGAATACAATCTCTATGCACTGTTCAGGTCACACACCCCGCCGCTGACTACTGCAAGGAATCGAAACCGCCGCTCCACCTAGCCTAGGCACCAGTTAGGCAGGTACGCAGCCGTCGTCTGTCCGGAGATCTTGCACGAACAGGATTCCAGGTTCAGGCTCAGCGACCTTGGTGGCTGGGCTAATGTGCGAAATTTTTTTTTCTTCGCCATCACCGCCAGTGCCGTCTCACTCGGCCCCAGGCCCTGCAAGTTGCAACCATGAAGTCCAGTCCTGCTGACTTCTGAGGATGGGATTGGATTATTACTCCGTATTATTGCGCTGGCAGCCCTCGTCACCGCCCTTTCAAGATCAGAATCAAACGCATCCATCCATCGATCGATGAAGTCGATGTTGAACCTTGAACTTTGAATCGATGTGACTGACTGGCTGGCTGGCTGAATATCCTCTACTGCGTACAGTACAGTACATATGATATAGCTGACACACAGGATATGTACTGTATGGGCATACTTGCAGACTCAGACGATGCAGTCAGACAATCCTTCGAACCTTTCACTCTGATCCAAACAGTACTAGTACTCCATACAGCCCCGAGCCTTGACCACCATGATCTTCGATCGATCGATCCACGCTTTTTTTAAAGAACAGACCAGACCCACCGTTCGTCGTTGTAGTCTGTTTGCTGCACATGTACTACTGTACAGTAGACTAGTAGTGCGTACACATTCCACTCACAATGCGACTTTATAACAATAACGTGGTGTGTGGTGCCCGCCCAGACCAGTGGGCCGTTTGGCATGCCTTGCTTGCTTGCAGTCCGATGGCATAGTGTCAGTGGCATTGCATGCATGTGGGCGTATGTATCGGCACTCGAACTCGATATGCTATGAGCCTATGACACTTTGAGTGGTCATTAAATGAATAAATAGTTGAACGGAGATCAGTCTGTTCAATAATATATTATCATCATGCACTCATTCTCCAGAACTCTACTGCCTATAGGATAACTATATAAAATTATTTACTGTGTACTTGAATATTAATGGATGATCGTTAGTGATTTATTTTATTACGCTCGTATATTCAGTATACAGTTCTGTCTATCTATCATCACATGATTTCTGAGAATCATTCTCATTGACTGACTGGCTGCCATATTTAAGTATCGACTTTGGATGGGTTATATATCTACCTCTCGCGCATATTGTCATGCTCATATTTCTGTAGAATATTTTTCCTGCCATGTTCGTCGTTGGGGGGGAAAAAAAAACAAGATTGCTCCCTCATACACAGCACTTCTAGATAGTAAACTTCTACTTGTCCAGATTCTTGCTCCTCACCATCCGCGCGATCACGTCCTTGCACTGTTTCTCGCTGTACTGCTCCCACACCTCGTACAGCGACACCAGCTCCTGTGTGCACTCGATCACCGCTTTGATGTCCACCTCGCTCTCCGCCAGCCAGTTGACGATCTTCTGGATCCGCGGGGCCGGGGCCGTCCCGTTCTTGTCGCCTCCTCCTCCCAGCGCCGCAAGAGCCCCTGCCACGCCGCCGCTCTCCCGGAGTGCGCCCGCCAACGACAATGGCCCGCTGCCGTGGAAGTTGGTCTGGCTGGGCTTGAAGACCACGGCGATGAGGATCGCCATCACCGCAATGACATGCGGCGGATACAGCAGCGGCAGGTCCGTGAGGTAGTGGTCGTTGATGACGGACCACGCCAGCGCCACCTCGTCCGAGGTCAGCCCCAGTTCCGGCTGCAGCTCCGTCAGAGTCCGGTACGGGTGATGCACGATCAGCTGGGAGTTCATTTCCGAGATCAGAGCGAATTCGCACTCGCCCAGTTTGGAAACCTCGTTGGTGATGAAGTCTAGTCGTCATATTAGCGATAAATGAAAGATACTAAAGATAAATACGGCCTTCGTGCTGTCATACCGGGCCACAGGCCTCGTGCCTCGCTGACGACAAATCGAATATGCTGCGGACACTCCTCCATCTTGCAGGCAAGATAAAAGGCAGTGGTGAGGACAAGATACGGATTGGTTTGCCGTACATCGACCTTGGTGTAATACCGCTTGATGTAGACCTGGGCCGTCGCCAGTGCCTGTTGTCGGGTCGACATTCTCTTGCCTAGCTTTGTCAGTTCTGTTGCGCCAGTTAGCTGCGATCGCCTAGGTCACTAGTTCATCAAACACAAAAAGGATAGGGCTGACGTTGGTTAAAAAAAATGTTGAGGTGCCTCAGATCTGGCAGGGGAAACTGCTGATGGGCCAGCTTGTCTTTCTCCTTGAGATTCTCGCGGATCTCTGCCAGCCGTTCTCTGGTGAACAGCCAGTGTCGGCGTTGGGTCGATGTCCAGTAATTGGCAGCCATGTTGGTGATTTGTCGCCAGCTGCAGCTTCCTCAGAGAAAACACTGGAGCTTCACATCATAGAGAGCATATCATGAGGTGCATTGGTAGGAGAATCCTGTTCTCAAGGACATTGATATGTGATGGAATATATATATATCTGTTCGATCCGCTGTTGGATCAAACGAAGGCGGAGAGCTCATACACCATCGAAAAAAAGAAGACAAAGACAAAGGCAAAGGCAAAGAAAAAGAAAAAGAGGGTCAAGCTGCCTAGCAAATAGACCGGATGAATAGCACAAAGTTGTACACCTAAGCCTGTCGCTTTCACGCTGCCAGCCGATAAGCAGATAATAATGAAGGGAGTTGATTGCCGCGGCGGCACCAGTCAGGAGGGCTCCCCGAACAGGCAAGTAGGGCTGTAGCCCTCGGGCCTTTGTCTGGGCTCTCCGTGCCGGCCCGAGAAATGGCGTAAGAGACGAGAGTAGCCGGCCCAAAGGTAACTATCGCAACTCCGCATTGCACCAACTGCCAAACGCTCGCTCGTTACATGTGCTCCATTGTCTTGCTGCTGGTCGACTCTGCTCTGATGCACAGTTCTACTACTACTACTACTACTACTACGGCCCTTCTCTCCCTGTCCCGCCGGAGGTCTCTGTCCCAATCCAAATCCTCCCTTCACCCTCCCTCCTCCGAAGCCAAAGAATGATTGCCGCCCGGTAACAATTTTCCTGCGTTCATGATGGGACCCCACGAGTCCCCCGCGGAACGCGACCGTAGGGTCGACAAACTGTGGCACATCTTGGATGCGCGTAGGGAAGGCCAGGTGGATTTCAATGGCCTGAAGAAGGGGCTGAAAAAGATGGATCATCGTGAGCAGCACCGTCACGCCTCTTCTTTTGTCGGGTGACATGCCCGCGTGCCCCTCTCCTTGTCCGCTGACTTGGCTTTTTTCTCTCTCAGCTCTCAAGAATGCGGATCCGATGCTCCAGGATGTCTTCCAGGCTGTCGATACGAACGGCGATGGACGGATACAATACGGCGGTAGGTCTCACGCGTGCTGAGACACCTGGTTCCTGTGAACCAATCTAATCCATTGTCAGAATTCCGCAGGTTTGTCGATCACGCTGATAAGGCTCTGTGGGCGCTCTTTGAGACCATCGACCGGAACCACAACGGAGAAATCGACAAAAACGAGCTGAAGGAAGCTTTTGCCCGTGCTGGTGTCACCGTCTCGAACGCCAAGCTCGACGAATTCTTCAGGCTGATGGATGTAAATAATGATGGGGTGATCAGCTACAGCGAATGGAGGTATGATGTCGCCGTCTCTCCGTTGGGGCAATTGAATGACCCCTGTCCGACTGACCATGCTCCAAAAAGGGACTTCCTGCTCTTCCTGCCCGCCGACTCTCCCAATCTCCGCACCGTCCTTTCATACTATTCGGCCACGGGAAATCTAAACCCGGAAGGAGATGTTGACATCAATGAAACTCTGCAGGGTTTAGGTACTGGCATCCCGCTTTTCTTCAATCTTCTCCTGGCCGTAAGGAGTTTTTTCTCCAGTCTGTTCCTAGTCCTCGGCTGGAGAGCCACCACCACTGCTCCCCTGAGTCTGGCACCCGCTGGCGGGGCGTCGAATGTTGAGTCAGAGGATCTGGTTTCGTTTGATGGCGACATCGAGCTGGAGTGGCTTCCTCTGCCCCGGATTGTAGCCATATGGATGTCGTTCCGCTATTATGAACAGAAGTTGACGGAAAACACCCCTCACTTAGGTTACTTCCTTGCTGGCGGGATTGCTGGTGCCGTGTCGCGGACAGCCACCGCGCCCCTAGACCGCCTGAAAGTCTATCTCATCGCCCAGACTGGCACCAAGAACCAGGCTGTCCGCGCGGCCAAGGAGGGATCCCCGCTGCAAGCCATTCAGGGGGGATTTAGGACGCTCGTGGAGGCCACCAAGGAGCTGTGGCGAGCTGGCGGCATCCGAAGTCTTTTTGCCGGTTTGTGGAGGCTTCACGTCAGATAGGAAAGTCAAGCTGACGAGTGACTCGTAGGCAATGGGTTGAACGTGTTGAAAATCATGCCCGAGTCCGCGATCAAATTCGGCGCGTATGAGGTAAGGACAACCATATGATGGCTTCTGTTGAGATCGTTCCTTTTCTGATGCCCATAGGCTTCAAAACGTGCTTTTGCTCGACTTGAAGGACACAATGATCCGAAGCAGCTTCGACCAACGTCACAGCTCTTGTCTGGCGGGCTTGGTGGCATGGTCTCGCAGTATGTTTGGTACTCTTCGGAGCCGTCTTGACTTATCAGCTTACCAGTTGCCAGGTGTTTTGTATATCCTCTCGACACGCTCAAATTGTAAGTAGTGGTCTCCTGCTAGAATGGGTTGATGACTGACCATGGTACCAGTCGGATGCAATGTGAAACAGTCGAAGGAGGTCTCAAGGGCAACCAGCTTATTGCTGCGACAGCCAGGAAGATGTGGCAGACCAACGGCATATTTACTTTTTTCCGGGGACTGCCGCTTGGTTTGATCGGCATGTTCCCCTATGCTGCGATCGATCTTTCGACATTCGAGTACCTCAAGTCGAGACTTCTTGCCCGTAAGGCTCGGACTAATCGGTGCCATGAGGATGACGTGCCTTTGAGCAACTTCACGACAGGAGCAATCGGTGCATTCAGTGGTGCCTTGAGTGCCTCTGTTGTCTATCCACTGAATGTTTTGCGGACACGGATGCAAGCACAAGGCACGGTCCTGCATCCACCAACATATGATGGCATTGTTGATGTGGCACGCAAGACCATCCGTGCAGAAGGTGTGCGTGGGTTCTATAAAGGCCTCACGCCTAATCTACTGAAAGTCGCGCCGGCAGTATCTATCAGCTATGTGGTTTACGAAAACGCCAAGAGGGCTCTTGGCTTGAAGTAGTCATCTAGGAGGTGCTCCTTCATTACATTTTTGAAGGCCACAAATAGGTCATGGTCCATCATTGGCACTGCACCCGCTTAACATGCATTTCGGTTCAACATTCTGGATGGCCTCATCAGTCGGCAAAGTCCGAAGGACTTCCTTTTTTTTTCTTTTGCTTTTTGCTTTTTTTTTCCAAATAAAAAGATACCCTTGTCAAAAGACCGTTTCAGGGAACGGCATTGTTGTCATTTTCATTATGCATACCTGCATCAATATCCCTGGCCCTTTCTTCTTTTTCTTCTTTCATCAACATGTACCTTTGTACCAAAAGCTTTTCTTTTCTTTCTCACGGTCACCAATTTGTCTCTCTATTAGCATTATCATGAAAAACTCTCAGAGAGACCTTGTACCATTTTCTCTTTTTTGCCCTTTTGTTTTGTTCTGTTTCCCTTGCGACATTGCACATAAATCAAATACACATAGCATGCATGGCTGTGGCGTCTTGTCTTGTCTTGTCTTGAACTTTTTTTTTCTTTTACACCTTTTCAAGAATGGGTGGATGGATGGGCGGGTGGATGGAATCCAGCGTGGAGTTTGCTTTTTTCTTTTTCTTTAGGTGTGTTTGTTCATTTTGAACAGAGCAGAGCAGATGAATGATAGATAGATAGATAACTGGAAATACTAGGTTGTGATATTAGATTGATTTGTTGATACTCTACTATCTACTATCTATCTTGCTGGCGTACCCTATTACCTATACTCAGACATTGAAATAAATAGGAATACATAAGTTTCTTTCAACATTTCAAATTACTAGACCATATATCTATATTCTATTTCCTTGCAGCCACAACAGCATTAACCTCCTCATCCTTAGGCAAAATATCCGGCACCGGCCCCACAGGCGTGATCGAAAACGGATTGATCTGCTTATGGCTCTTGGTATAATGCTTCTTGATATGCTCAAACTCCGTCGTGTCGTGGAACGCCGGCACGTCCCAGTACAGATGGCGCAGCCAGCGGTGGATGGCCGGATACCCGGAGCGAATGTCGCGGAGATTGGTCTTGAAGTGCTGGACGTAGACGACGTCGAAGCGCACGATGGTCGTGTACAGCCGAATGTCCGCCTCGGTGATGCCCGTGCCAAAGTAGTATATGTGACCGTCTGCCTGGCGCGAGGCGAGATGCGCCTCGATCCGGTCCAGTGCTGCGAACAAGGCGCGCACCGCCCGCTCGTAGGCTTCCTGCGTCGTTGCGAAACCGGCCTTGTACACCCCGTTGTTCACGTCGTTGTAGGTCCACTCGTTGGTCGCTTCGATGTCCTTGCGCAGCGGCGAGGGGAAGAGGTCCACCTGCCGGTATTTCTCTGGAAGAAGGTCGTCGAATTCGTAGTAGAACATGCGGATGATTTCGGAGCTCTACAGTCACATCATCATCATCATCATCATCAGTGGGATAACAATACCCAGCAAGCTGGCTCTCTACAGACCTCATTATTGACAATCCGATGCGTCTTCGTGTCGTACAACGTCGGCACCGTGAACCGGCCCTTATACTCCGGATCGACGGAGAAGTAGATGTCTCGGAGATGGGTGAAATTCGGGTGTACGGGGTCAGGCCTGACGTCCTCTCCGGGGAGTTTCTCGTCGGGAGTGACGAATCGCCAGCCTGGAATACATACAATCATTATTAAGAAGCGAATTTCACCGAATCGTAAAGGAAATCCTACTAACCCTTCTCTTCCATATGCCAATGCACACATGTCACGGGGATGATATCCTCTAGGCCCTTGAGCTTCCGGGTAATCAGTGTTCGGTGCGCTGTGTTGAAATTCAGCATTATTAGCCACTGTATTCCATTCAAGTCATATACTTTATAAAACATAACCACAGAGAAACAGACGAAGACCCAGGCAGACAAAAAAAATACTCACCCCACGGACAGGCATACGACACATAAAGATGATACCGCCCCTTCTCGGGAGGAAACTCCGCACCAGGCTCCCTAGAGATCCAGTTCCGGAAGACGGACTGGCCGCGCTTGAACTCGCCCGACTTGTCGTTTGGATGCACCCAGTCGGTGATTTTCAGGTCGTTGTTGCTGGCCTGTATATAGGTTCTCAATTAGCCATTACCAGAAAAAACAAATAGTAGTGCAATGTACTACTAGTAATACGCACCGACATGATCTTTACAGCGGGAGTAGCAGTGGCAAGGATTATGGCAGGGGTGCGACGACTCTGGAACCTTGATAAATGACAAAGAATCGCTCTCGATCGGAGCAAGGGTGAAGACATGAAATTGTCTCAAGAATTGACACAAGATAGAGAATTGTATGTATAGGCGATCTTAAATATCATAGCATAGAGCTCTCGCGGGGCCAGCCGATGACGTTGATTGGCGCCATGCCCGTGCTTACGGCGATTAGCAAACTGCGGGGTGTTCTGACTAATGATCGGATAATAATGATCCAAACATCGGCATCTCCATTAGGTATTTTAGCTATTTTAGCCATTTAGGTATACTACACCACAACATAAAAGCGACATTCGTAAGAATTCTATGTTTCCTAGCATAGATCGTGCCTGTTCAATGCCTCCCTATCATCGCCACGTCTACTACACCAGCTTACTTCCTCAGCTTCACCATCACGTATGGAATCTCCACGTCCTCCTCCGTCTGGTCCTCCGCAGTGACCTCGAAGATGACGTTCTTCTGATGCTCCGGGATCGGTTTCTTGCTGATGTGCTCGACCAGCTGGCTCATCCTATAGCAATGTGTCAGCAACAGACTCGCAGCAATAAATAAAATATCAGAGAGATGCATACCGCAATGGCAAACGATCCTTAAGCTTCGACGGTGGATAGAAGCTGGCATACAGCAAGCTGACTCCGGAGCTGACCATGGTCACCTCCAAGCCGAGGTCGGAGAAGTACTTCAGGAAGTCCTGAAGTGTAATGTCATCCACCTCGAAGCGGTCCCAGAGCTTGTCGATCGTCACTTCACCCTTCTTGCCGAGATACTTGCCCTTGGGACTAGCAATAGGCTCGCTGAACCCGAAGAACGGCAGCGCCAGATTGACGAAACCGTTCTTGTACTTCGCAATGTCCTTCTTGCCATCAACAATCTTGTACAGTTCAAGAATGACGAGACCGGTCACGAGAGCGGTCGTGGTCGCAATGGCCGGGATGATCTTGCCAGCAATGAATTTGGTCTTGTGCCGATCAGCCTGCGGAATGTCATAGTTCTCTGCGCGCAGGTTGCTGGCCGCCGTGATGAAGTCAATGTGGAAGTTGGTATCGTCGTCCTTCTCAAACTCTACAGGCACCAGACGGAAACCAGCCAGGTCCTTCGGCGACGGCAGGGATGCAATGAGGCGCTGGATTTCCTCGTTGTCGAAAGACGTCCCTGATGGCTGAGCGTTTGGATCGGGCTCGTTTTCATCCGCCTGAATCTTGACCTTGTCACTGGGGGTGAAGTCGGGAATGATCACGTTGTCAACCACTTTCCGGTAGTAGTCCTTGTCTGTGGTAGGTGCCTTGATTCCGTAGTTGTACGCGTGGAGATTGGCCGCCGCAATGATAAACCCTAGGTGAGTTGGGTTCGAGCTGTCGAATTTGAGCGGTGTGGGCGCCCGCTTAGGACCCGACCAGAAAGGCTGGCCGGTAGAGGTCTTGGAGTCACGAGGGAAGTTGTACAGGAGCTGCTGGATCGCATGGTTAAACTGCTTCTCGAACTGATTGCGAGCCCAGACGATACAGTCGTCGAAGCTGAGCGGCTTGTCCGTCACCAGGAAGTCTCGAAGATGCTCCAGAGTTTGTTTCTCATTACCAGCCTGCTTGAGCGTCTGCTCAATGTAGTTCGGCTGGGAGAGGTACTGATTGACGGCTTCCGGAGGACCAACGAAGTACGTCTCGAACAGATCTCGTGCCCAGGCAATGGTGTGCTCGATGCGGTTGGGGAAGCTCTTCAACGTGCACATAGGGAAGGACTTCTCGGGAGGATCCTGAGAGCTCGAGTAGGACTCCGTCACATAGGGCAGGACGACTTGCGTGTTGCCCTTAGTACCTAGCGTTCCGCTCTCCAGCAATGGCTTCCGGAAGAAGACACAGCGCCGGTCAACGTAGGTTCTCGCATCGACGTTGTCCAGAGCGTTCGTCACAACATCAAGCTCTTCCCAGAATTGCTCGTTGAAGATATCCTCCGTGTCCTGTCCAACCCGGTCCCGGAGGGTGACTATCTTCCCGTTCAGTTCTGGGTTCATGGCCTGGACCGCGGCAGAGGCACATTCACTCTTGAGCTTGCCAACATCCTTGCTGCGGAACAGGAACTGCCGGTTGAGGTTGCTCTTCTCAATCTGGTCCATGTCGGTTACACGGATCTTACCCTTAGGCCCGGTTCCGAGACCGATCATGGCCCAGTTCTTGAGCATCTCACAGCCAATGGCTCCCGCACCAACCAGGAATTGATTGACGTTGGCAATTTTCTCCTGGAAGTCCTTTCCGAAGACTGCAATCTGGCCGTCATAACGAGTGCCAAGGGGCTTGCAGGTCTCCTCCGAACGAGTGACGGATTCTGGCAACGACTCCAACGAGTCGAAGTAGAGCCACTGAACGACGGGGTTAAACTTCCCAGAAACGCTCTTCAGGACTTCCTGAGCGGCCAGACCGCCAAAGAATGCGGCCAGAGGATTGAGATCTCCCCGAGCCTGGTAGCTGAGCTCCTTGATGAGTTTGTCGTCCAGCTCAACCTTCTCCTCGCCTTGTGCGGCAAGATCCTTGGCAATCTTGAGAACCTCCTCGGCATCAGCCTCATTATGAGGGCGAGGGAACTCTCCATTGTGAGCCTCGGCAAAGTGATGAAGAGCCTGGACGCCAATGTGCAGTTGCTGAGGCCGGTCAAACTTGGCAAAGTCGGATACCATGAGCTCTGGTTTCTTGAGCTGCTCCCGGAGCGGCTGGAAATCTATGAACCTGGGCATCTTCACCTGGGTGAAAATACCACCTCCTTGGTACTTGCCTAGACCAGAGACATCCCCAATTGAGAACGTGTAAGGTCCCTTGACAGTCACCTTACGAGGGGCGCAGTTGTTAAGCCCCTCCATGCCTTTGACCTCAGTGAAAGTGACGTAGTCGCCGTCTTCCAAGCCATGCCTGCTCTCGTCCAAGGCGGACACCAGGCCATCCTCGTCGATATCGGCTACGATGCCGCTGACCGGCTCCTCGCCCGTGGTGTCACCAACCGTAAAGTTCTTTCCAAAGTCATTGAAGAGGTATCCAAAAAGACCAAAGGTATCTGTAATGACGATGTAGATTCCATTCGCGTGGCAGAAGTCTGCGATCGCGAGTTGATCCTTCAGCGGCGTGTTGGTGAGGACGACCACTTGGAACCGCTTCAACTTGGAAAGATCCGCAGTCAGGCTGTCGGATTCGAAAACAGTGACGGGCACATATGAGTTCAGCTCTGCGACCCGGGGAGCCGTCACATCTGCGCGGCGCTTGCCCACATCCTGTGGCTGGAGGAAGAATTGCGAAGAGAGATCGGAGATAGCAACGGGAGCAGGGTCAAACAGAGTGAGGGACTTGACGCCAGCGAGGGCAATGTTTTTGGCTGGAGTGTGTTAGATTCTCGAAACCATGGTGTCCAGCAGGTGGCAGCACTCACCAATCTCAACACCCAAGCCTTTCAGTCCAGCAACCAGGACGTTCGACGAGCCCATGCGCTTCATGGCCTCATGTCCAAGGACATAGCTACAAAAGTAAGAAACAAAATTAGTGACTGAAGTTTCCATGGATGACACGGAAAAGAAACACCTACAGTTGCCGGCTGTATAGCGATTCATCGATCTCACCTTGCTTGATCAACTCCACAGTTTCCTGTGGGTTGTCAAGTTGCATCTTGCCGTCCTAGAGAGTGTTAATGAGCTAGTTCCTAAAGCAGACTTGCATGAAGATAGGTTACTGAAGGCCCATTAGGAACCCACGTACAGTCATGATCTTCTTCTCTGGCCGAACAACTTCGTCCCCGGAGGCCTTGCGCTTTCCCGGCTTCGCAGTTTCTCGAATATCAGCGTGGGAGTGAATGGTGGAAGACTGCGGATGAAAGTCTTGCTCGTGGCAAGACTTTCGAACAGAGAGTTGGCGGTCTCTGGAGCTCGTTTTGGTAGAACCCGAGAGAGGGGGATGGAAAGGTCGCAGCTGCTGAGTAAACAACGATCACGCGAGAGAGGCAAGCTGGTCGACTGGACGGGCGTCGACCACCTGATAGAGAGCTGCTAGAGGTAGCAGAACTCAGCGAAAGAGAGGGTTGATGGGAGGAAAAGAAGCAGAACAGGGATACGAGGCCGTGACAGAGAGCGAGAGGAGAGAGTCGTCAAGTGGCTGTCCTGCAGTCTGCCTCTACGTAAGAGAGGGACAGCACACCCCATGCCGCTGACTCAGCATATGGGCGCCGCTGATTGGATGCGTGGACGCAGCCCCGCTGAGCGCCTCAGGCATCCATCCTGCCAGAGGTTCCCCGCAGGCAGAATCCAACGCTGCAGGCAGCATTAACTATAGGGAAGAAAATTATGCGTCTACTTCGTTTATTTCATTAATAGTCTCATCTGATGCCTTTAGTTCAGCGGATGCAAGTCTAGGCGGACCAAAACTGGACATATATAGAACGTGGCCAAGACCCGCTCCGACACGATCTCCGCGGATCGCGTAAACACGACACACCATGTGCGTGACCCCAGTTGTGCATGAGTGATCAATTCAACCAGATATAGATATTGTTTGATGATCTGAAAGTTAGATGTCTATTTCCTGACTGGTTTCTAATCCGCTACCTTGAGTGCTACCTACCACAGCTGTCAATGCCTACAGCCTGAAGTTGACGACGGCGCAAACCACCACTTGCTAGACCCGACGATAGATGGCGACAGGAAGTGACAGACAGAATGCTGCACGAAATCCTTCTTTCCCTCTCCGGCCAGCCGTCGCCTCTCCTTGACCCTGAGGTGGCTGGAGCTGGCTCTTCTTCAGAGTCGTTTCCGCTGCTGTCACCTCCCGAGAAGGCCCTCCTGGCATCTCTCGCACGCCTGAGCCGTCTGCACTCCCTCTTGCGCGCCCATACCTCCCGAATATCCTCTTCGCATCCTTCGACGATCTGCCGGGCAGTGTCCTCCTCCATCGCGACAGAACATCTGGGCAGGTTTCAGAAGAAGATCCTGGAGGTGGAGAAGGCAGTGCTGGGCAAGGACAGCGGATACGTGGGTGGCTATGGGATCGTTCCCTTGTCGACGATTGTGTCCGAGTTTGCGCCCTGGACACGAAGGCTGGAATGGCTGTGGGAGGTGGCACGGTTCATGCAGCCAGAATCGGCTGTCCATGGGGAATCAGGGATGTGCAGTGGCGCCCGTCTCATCGACTACCTTCGCGCCGAGTCCCATACGGGTTATCTGGATCTGGAGGAAATCGCGCTACAGCTGATAAAGGCGGCTGAGACTGCCTGGATGAGGCAATTGTCGATGTGGCTACTATACGGAGACTTGCCTACGTTTGGCAAGGATGACTTTTTCATACAAGCAAGCGAACCCGACGGCGATGGTGACGAGGGTGCTTCCTCTCAGGGGGTTGTGGATTTTGTCATACACGCGGACCTCTTACCAAAATTTGTTTCTCCAGCCACTGCGTCTTCGATCCTTTTCATCGGGAAGTCTTTGAACCACATCCGAGGACGTCGAAACCGTTCTGCGGCCGATACTTCGCCAAGCTCAATTACGGGGATAACGTTGGCGAGCGATCATATTCGTCACCTGTCGTCTCTGAAATCGCCGATCTCACCTGCGGCTCTGTCGAACGCTGTGACTGCAATAAGGCTGTCACTGTCACAAACCGCATTATCAAAGCTTTTGCCTCTGCCCAAGATTCTCGAGATTTTAAATCTGATCCATGACTTCCTTCTTCTGGGGCGGGGTGAATTTGCCATGGCGCTGGTCTCCCATGCGGACTCGCGAGTCCAAGCCAGACAGAGGAGGCCCGAACCATCTCGCAGGGATAAGACTGGCGGGCTGGACGGCGTCGTGATCAAAGAAGGAGAGGTCATGGCAGCTTTAGCAGAGACTTGGACCGAACTGTATTCCCTCCAAAATGAGGAGGACCCAGTTGATGAAGAACTAGACCTAGCCCGCGAATTGCTACATTTGTCCATCAACAATAACAAGAAGGGAGGCCGCACGATGACTCCTTCTCGAGACGTTGCAGGCACCAACTTGACTGCCGAAATCTCCAGCGTCTCCTTCGATGATCTCCTGTTTCCTGCTTCGACCTCTCTTTCCTTGCGAGTCCAGCCTCCGATCGATCTCTTCCTAGCGCCTTCGGATATCTCAGTGTATTCGATAATCCACTCCTATCTTCTCGGTATCCGCCGGGCTCAAATTCGTCTCAGCAATCTCTGGAAACATTCCTCCATGAGACGCAACCATCCAGCCCCGTGGGGTCCGCCCAGAAGTAATACCCGAGGTGGAGAGAGCCGATTGCGATCGCAACGGCAGAGACAGAATGCTCGATCAGTGCAAATGCGCCCGGTCTGGGCGACTGCGAGCGCCGCGACTTTTGTCCTGTCAGAAATCGGGGGTTACCTACAGGGCGAAGTAGTCCAAGCATCTTGGCAACACTTCCGGGAGTGGCTCGAAGGAGCGCCTCTTGGCTCAGGATCAGCGTCACGTCCAGCTTCACGCCCCGGAACAGCTTCACGTCCTGGGACCGCCTCGCGCCCTGGAACCGCCTCACGTCCTGGAACAGCCTCACGTCCTGGAACGGCCTCGCGTCCAGGAACAGCATCGCGCCCTAGGACGGCGTCAATGCCGAAGTATTATTATGAGGAGAGCATTCTTTCCATAGATACAGCAGCAACAAGACAATCCACACAGCAGCAGCATGATCCCGAGACCTTGACGGTGGCACATCGCCGCTACCTTTCGTCTCTGGTCCAGTACCTCTTTCTAACAGAGGTGCCTTTCACCAGCGCCCTGCGCTCCTTCCTCACGAGCGTCGACCATCTCATTGCATTGGTTTCTCGACTGGAGACCGTACAGCGGAATCTCGACCTGGAGATGGACGAAGGCGTGGTGGATGCGCTCGCCGACTACGGCCAGGAAGAGCGATCACTGCTGCAGGACCTGCGCGAGGCGCGGGAGGAAGTCGAGACGGGCATCAAGGAGATCGTGGCGCGACTGCGCGATATCGACGACAGCCGGTCCGGCGAGGGACGGAAGTTGTTCGACCTGGCGACGACAGCCACAGCAGCCACCATCACCACCACCAGTCACCCGAGTCAACAAGGGCGGAGCGGGCCTTTCTCTCCTGCTGCCACTGGAGGGGATCAGAACATGTATATCCCGCGCAAGGCGGCAGGGGTAGACCGGCTATTGATGAAGCTGGATTTCGGAAGCTTGAATGATGGCAGTGGCGCGCAGTATTTTCAGCAGCCGAGCTCTGCGTTTCTCGAGTATGGCGAGGAGTGACCATGTCCACGATATCATTCTATATTATTGCCTGGAAGGACGTTAACGACTGACTGTTTGATACCCTCTTGTATGCTGTATGCTGTTTGCTTTTTTTTTCGGTAACTGACCTGTAAATTGGAACGAGAAGACGGGTCTCAACTGAGAGTATTATAATACCCTTCCGTTTAAAGTCATGTAGGGATAAGCACATATAGAGCATGGCACATCAAACATAGTAGCAATAGATTAGGCAGGAATGGTATAGGGAATAGTGTAACTAATACAGGATTGCGCAGAGGTAGGGTTAACGTAAGTCCTAACAATAAGAACTCCACCAACGCCTTGATCCCTATATAACACAGCTGGCTCGTTTCTGATCAGAACGGTAAACAGGACAAGTTTTAGGAAATACGGCAGCGCAAGAGATCTTTCTTATTAGATTAGCCGCAGCACACACCCAGCCCGTTTCAATGAAGACACAAAAAAGGTATAAGGTCGTTGGATTCTTCCGTTTGATGATTACCAAGCGGTATGCCCGCCATCGATCAGGAGGGTACTCCCCGTCATGAAAGAGCTTGCGTCGCTCAAGGCGAACAGGGCGATACCACGGAACTCCTCTGGCCTCGCGAGCCGGCCCAGCATGTTCTCCGCCTCCCAGATGGCCCGGGTATCTGGGGCCTTCTCGAACACCTGCTCGACCATGCGGGTCATGATGTGACCGGGACAGAGGCTGTTGACGCGGATGCCATGACGCCCCCACTCCATGGCAAGGCAGCGGCCCAGCTGGATGACGGCCGCCTTGGACGAGTTGTACACGGCGGACGTCATGCCCTTGTTGGCGATGAGGCCGCTCATGCTGGCGACGAGCAGGATCGACCCGGGGCATTTGTAGCGGAACATCTGCCTGGCGGCCGCCGTGGCCGCGTTGAAGACGCCGTTGTAGTTGATCTGCATCACCTCGTGCAGCGCCTCCTGCGAGTATTCGAGCGCGCTCGCAATGTGGTTGATCCCCGCGGCGCAGATCATGCCGTCCAGTCGTCGCGATGCGCTTGCAATCTCGCTTATCGCGCTGTTGACATCGGCGTTGTCCCTGACGTCGATGCGTCTGTAGTTCATGCTTCCGCCGTATTCGCTCTTGGCCCGGTCTTGGGCAGCTTCGAACTCAGGATCGGGGGATTCGAGACGGTCCAAACACCAGACTATTTATACGAACAGGAGTTAGTGTCAGCAGCGCAGTTATTTCGCAGAAGAACGACTCCAACAGACCATTTGCGCCAGCCTCCATCAGCACTTCGGCCATGCAGAGGCCGAGGCCTCTTCCCCCTCCGGTGATGGCAATGACACGATCTTCTAGATTGAATTCACGGAATCGCTGGGCGTTTTTAGCACCAAACGCTGGTGGAAGTTTGGTCTGGATGTGATCTGTGGTGTGGCCAGGCCGTGTTGTGGCATAGTTGCATGTTGCGCAGAGGGGAAGCGATTGCAACGACCGCAACTTGAAAGGCGTTCGCTGCAGTGTAAACGACATGGATAGGAGAAGACAAGGTACAAATTCCAGTAGTTTCGTGCTGTAGATATTGCAAACTGAATTGATTAAAATAATAGGTAAAGGTGCTGGATCGAACGGAAAGGAAGTGTGAATGAACCTCTGCCGGCTAGACGTCACCAGCTCCAGATGTGGAAGGACACGTACACCAACATAGCTGTCTACAAGAAACGGTAATAGGAACAGTGGTCATACTCGGATCTGAGACCTTGATGATGCTGGTCCAGCGAATAGAGTTGTGATCCAAAAACATTTCATCATAGGTTCGTATTATATATCATCCGGGCTGGCATCAAATCAAGTCAGCACAATTGATCCAGGGTTGCCAGAAGCTAAAGACAAAGCTGACACAAAACCAAGTTGTACCTTACTATTCTCGTCCCCGCCAGAAAAGCAGCTAGCTCCTCGGTTCAATAATCTGATGATTCGTGGCTGCTGGACTAATAGCCTCGCAAGTCTAGGTGTCTGTTTGTCCCTTATCAGACTTACTCGCAAGATGCCATCTTCAACAAGCCACAACCAATCCCTTCTCGAGTCGACAAAGATAGGCAGAAAAACCACAATGGAGACTCATGACCAAGACCAGCCTGTTGCGCACGGCAAAGATACAGATCAACAAAAGGCATTGGCAAATGGAGGTTCCTAATTTCCCGTTCGAGTAATCCGGGCAGGTCGGGAACGCAACCCGCCAATCACGGCCTCGGCATGTCATCCATGGAGACGGGAGCGGGATTCTGCCCGAAATCTGGAGAGGATGGCTTGGCTCCAGGAATTTCAGACCTCAAGATTGAAAGATGAGACACCAGTCGTGGCTGATGATTCTTCCAGAGAATAGTTATTATTATTATTATTATTATTATTATTTCGCATCCAGCTATGACTATGTCCAACAAGGCCAGAATGAATATATCCGCACCTTGCAATATCATACTATGTACATGAACTTCAACGGCTTGGAGGAATCCTGCATTCCGCTGGTGTTGCCCATCAAGCCCTCTCCTTCCCCAGCGCCTGTTTCCAACTCTATACCCATCCGATTCTCTTTTTGTGCTTGTCGCCAGTTCGCTCTCTGTAGAAGAACTCGCAACGTGAATGCCAGGACGGCCACCAGGATCATGAACAAAGAGCAGGCGGCCATGCCGTGCACATACCACGGCCCGTCGCTGTCGGGATACAGCCTAGTTCCAACGAGGGGGCCGAACTGACCAATGATGTTGAGCATGGCGACACCGGTTCCCTTACCTTCGTAAGCGACGCGGTTATCCATACTCCAGGTGATAATGATGGTGATGGCTGAGAAGAAGCCACAAGCGGCAGGGTAGATGCAGATATATCGTATAACTGTGTGCATGGTGGTTGACATGTAAGAGTGGAAGTAGCCGGTCAGTCCGATCGCCAGGTAGGCGAATGCGGACAACAGTGCGTGCGCAATCAGGTAAGGACTCCTGGTCCGATGGCGATCGGATAAAGATGCGGTGATCAAAACCACAACGAAGGAGAGCAGAAAAGGGGGCGCCGACAGAGCCTGTGAGGCCAGAGAGGAATATCCCATGCTGCAGAAAGGACCAGGTCAACTGTGCTCGAGGATGATTTAAAACATTAAGGGCACCTACTCTTTTATGATGGTGGGCAGAAATACAGGCATAGAGCTAAAAGCAACGTTGCAACTGAAGAACATTAACTGCAAGTTACCGGTCAGTACAGCTAGCCCACATCAGAAAGGAGAATATGTCAAGCACTCACAGCTGTGATGTACACCTTTGGGTCCTTGAGCGTCTCTCCCACTGCCCGCCAATTGAACTTTTCATTAGACGATTCATGCCGCTCAAGCTTACTCCCCTCCAGCCGTAACTTGGCGACTTTCCGTTGACGTGGCGTGAGAAACCTTGCTTTCCCAGGAGAATCGGGAATCAATATCCATGCAAAAACCGCGGCTACCACACTTGGAAAGCCCTCCACCAGAAAGAGTGTGCGCCATGGCGCAATGGGCCCATTGCTGCTGAGCTTAACAATCAGCCACGCAAGACTGCTGGCAAAGGAGGTAGCCAGCGGCGCCGCAGAGATAAACAGACCCGTCCGGAAGGCCAGCTCCTCCCGCTTGTAGAACAATGATAGATAGAACGGGACTCCGGGCCCAAAAGCTGCTTCAGCCACTCCTAGAAAAGCCCGCAGAAAAGCTAGGTGCCAGAAAGATGTGGCTAAGGACTGCAGAGATGCAATCAGGCCCCACGAAAACACGCAGAGCGAAATATAGATATGTGCAGGGACCAGCCGGTACATCAAAGTCATCCACTCGAAGATAATATAGGTGATATAAAAAGCGCTAAGTAGCCACTCATATTGCGAAGAAGATAGCCGCAGATCGTCCGCAAGCCCAGCAATCTTTGCATTACCAATATCTGGCATGGAAATTGATGTTAGTACTATGTTGTCTGTATGTAACGCATGGAGTCCTGGACACTTAACTACTCACTTGAGCGATCCAAGAAGGAAAGTAAATAGAGCAGAGCCAAGAACAAGACCAATCGCCTGTCAAATCTCCTCACAACCTGTTGTTCCTCCTCCCGGGTGTAGTCTGCTCCAGCTCCGGGCGCTCTGTACCGAGGAGCATTCCTGAAATCCCATTCCGAATCAGAGCCCTCGTCAAAATCACCTGAAGATTTCCGGTCGTGCTTCGAAATAAATCCCTGTGTCTCGTCCTCCGCCTCGACGTCCACCTCCTTATCGAAGTCAGTTCGTAGCCTGTCGAGGGTCGCAGGATGTGTCGACGGGCTTCCTCGATCCGATCCACTCGATTCGGGAGTACATTGCGGGTTTGAAGGCTCGAACGAGCTCGTTGACGGCGTTTCCCCCGCGTCAGAGTATACAGAAGGCGGGGAGCCCTGCGATGGGGGTTTAAGGTGAGGGCTGGCCATGATCGTAAACGAACGCGCGGAGCTCCGGGTTGCAGGTGCCTCCGGGCAAGCAGCAGCAGCAGATCATGCTCCTGGTTGTTGAGGAAAAATCATTGACAGTGTCATCGCGCACAGTAATCCATCCCAAGACCGCGGTCCCGGAGATCATCAGCGTCGGCTCCTAGCTTAAATGCTGCGAGCAATCCTTCTGCCCGGCGGAGCTCCATCCCCGGAAACCATCACGTGCAGCGCGTCCACGTTCTAACTGGATCGTCCTAACTTAGTCGCGTATCATTCCCGCCGACTCCGTTCCTTTTCGGGATAAAACTTAGGGTATTCCAAGGTTACTAGATAACCCGTAGGAGATAAGATCCGCTCTCCGTTCTTGCTGGAGGCACGCCACCCTTGTTAGCTGATGTTACTTCTGTTATACACAGTTCATACTTGCAAATAATAATCTCTTTAAGAATAACAGACGACGGATACCATTGATGATTTTTTTTTCGAATTAAGCACAGATTGCAGTTGCATATCATCACGATTTTTGCACCTCCTCTCTCCTTCGCCATGCCAGTCCCGTTGTTGTACTCGGTATTCTTCCGTGCGGGCAAATTTTGCTAGATAACATGCATTCTGCTAATAAGACGAAACAGATTCAGTAGATCTGGGATTTTTGTCCATCTCTTGCGTCTTCAGATTCCAAGTTGTGGTTTGTTTGCTGAATTCAGGGTCTGTAGTATTGAGATCCGTGACGGGTCCAGCTCTGGCGAGGACGTTTCAACGGAATCTCGGTAACCTCTGTGATCTCGAAGCGCCTCTTTTTGCCCCCCAAGAGCTCCGTAGCTTTGTCCTTGGCATATTGGAACATTTCCTCGAGCTCTGGTACCATCCTGTGCGTCGTTAAACCACGGGCTCGAAGGCAATTCAGACTATTCTCCGCCGTGTCGCGCAGAAATCGGGCAGCCTTGGCCTTTTCCATATAGCTGGCGCCATCCAGGTTGTAATAGTCCTCCTTGGCCTTGAAATAGACGTCGAGGATGCGCGTGATCTTGTCATCGACGGTAGTGTCGTTGCTGCGTGCGCTGTCCTTTGTCTCGAAACGTCGACCATTGTGAGGGCGGTTTTTGGACTGTCTGGTTCTCTCTCCGAGGGCATCTCTTTTTTCTGCCATTCCATTGCTATCAGGCTGGGAGACTGTCCATGATGCTAGTCAGAACACTGGAGAAGAGGCACTATACTATACGTTCAGGGGCTCACGCACGTTTGATAAAAAGGGCCTTCAGCGCAACATGCTTCTCCAGAACCTCATCCAGCACCTGACCGTGTTTATTCTGGCTGATGCCCATGAATTCTTCGATGTAAAGCTCCAGGGCTCCTGCATTGGAGATTTCGTTGCCGTTTTTGGACAGCATCAGCAACGCCTTGTCGTACACCGTGATGTGGCCGTCCTCGAACGCCTGCGATCGAGACTTGATGAGAGCCAGCTGGTGTGCAATAATTTCCCAGAGAAGTCGGTATATTTCGGGTTTCCCAAGGATCTCACGTAGCACCGGACGGGGTTCCTTGATATCCTTGTATTTGGACACCAGATCCATAACTTGGCTCTCAGGGTCATCAAGCTTCCGGGAACTCCTGGATTTATGAGCGTAGTTTCTGTTTGACATCTTGAAAGTATTGGAGAAGGAAACTCCAGCGTTGACAGTTGTATATTGAGTCACAATTCCAGTGTGTACCCTCTATGTTGCAAATGGAAAGAAGATAATTTTGAAGTGCTGGAAGGCGCGACTCTTGGAAGATATAGACGCGTCACGTCAAGGGGTGCGATACGGTCGAATAGAAATGAGCACCACAGGACGTGTCGGTCACACGAAAAGAGAACCAAGTATTTCCTTGGTTTCCATTTCAAGATTGTGGGTTTTCAGAAGAATTGTGAGGATGCGGAGACCAGGCCACTCGTGTAAAGGGAGATGACAGTGAAGGAAACACGGATCCGAGATACTCGCGAGATGATTACAAGATGACAGGGCACTAGCTCTCTGAGTTTTTCGTCTTGGCCTTTGCAGATTAGGTATGCAGAGCTAGGACCCTCACTTTATACTCACTTCGGATGAAGAATCGTGAACAAAAGACGCTGGGGAGTAAGAGGAACTGGTGGGTTTCCTTCTCAACGACGTAAGGCCATTGTCAGCTGATCTACTGAAATTGCCCCTTTTTCTTCCTAGATCTTTGCCATCTTGTCTCCAACGCATTCACATTGATCAAAGTGCAATTTCCCAATCCATTGCAATAGTGGCAAAGTTGTAAGGTTCAGGGGCTCATAACCAACAAAAGTCATAATAATCTAGCAATCAACTATAATGACTAACAACCCATTTATGTCCGCGGTGATCTTTTGTTTTTTTGCCCCTTAGTCATAGGAATTGTTTCGACAGTGTGATAGTTTACAGAGCCCTTGACTTTAGTAAGGATTCTGAGATGAGTCTCTCAAACGACATGTGAAGCTGCTGTAATGATAGATTTGCCTCAACAAGAGTGGGTATCACAATCTGAAGTATATAGGTACATCTTGTCACTAATAGTCCATTCAATCGAATAACAGTTTCATATAGCCATTCCCAGTCGAGGACATTGACAGTTCGACAAGCACAGCACTAACTCGGGTCAGTTGAAAGAATACTCACCATTATGAATAAAAAAAGGTCGCAAGGCATCTCCTCCTCACCCTTCGCCCAACTCCACGACGACTTAATTCCTTTCTTTCCACAATTTCTCTACCTCCTCCACCAATGTTCGTACCTTACTTCCTTCCCCGCCCTTAGCACAATCCCTCCACACTCCTCCATCCCGGACGCACCAAACTGATTCATCCAGCCGTACTGTACAGCTCGTCTTGATCCCCAACTCCTCGCTGCGGCGTGCACTCCTGCGCAGTAAGGCAATCCCACTCGGGTCTTCCTGTGACGAGTCGTCGTCATCGTCATCCTCACGGCTTGCGCACTGATTCAGCTCGTTGAAGTCGATGCCGTGCTCGAGCGCGCAGCCTTCGACCAGCGTGCGATCGGGAATCTTCTCATAGGAGCTGATCAGGCAATTGGCGAAGCCAAGAGAACGGATTGTTGGGGTGCGCGGGCGGAACGTGAGGGAAGACGAGGAAGAGGACGATTTTTGGCCAGGAGGGAAGGGAAGATTGGCTGCACAGAGAATAATCATGTCCCCAATACATTCGGTTGGACCGTGCATACACTCCACCTCAGAGGTTTTATTGGAGACGCTAGGTGATCACATCAGCTTCATAGTCAACCTCGGCTTACACTGAGCAAGTACCTTGCAATGAAGGAAAGCTGAAAATCAACCTTGTCACTGATCTTCTCCATAGCCGGCACGACGAGTTGCTGCAGACAGTCCCGGGCGTCGGGGCATTTGCTCATGATGTGTGCCTCCAGAGGCACTTTCTTGGATCCAGTGGTCGAGTATGTTGTAGAGACGGTACCCTTGGAGCGTATCGACGTCTTGGCGAAAAGGTGAGTCACATAGATGAAGTACAGGACAAAGCAGACAATGATGAATATAATGCCGCGGCGCAAGGAACGACTGATAGCACGCTCGCGCCGCGTCGTAATTCTGCTGTCTGTTGCTACCGAGGGGTTACCATCTTGAGGACCAAACAGTTCTTCTCGAACGAGCTCTTTGTACGCTGCATAAGGATTCCCGGTCATTATGCGTAGTTCCTGTTGCGATCAGTAAGAACTAACAATAATGATCTGTTTCCGCCCATTCTCCTGGGCTAGTGCAGACAGCCAGCGTTCTGTAGAGGTGAAGCATTCGGCGGGCGAGTCTGGAGGCGCGATGACGAAACGAGCAATCTGACTAATTTAGCGTATGCAGTCTTGGCACCCAACCTCAGGAAATTGTAACTTCTGTATTAGAAGCCCACCAAACCACTAAAATACTTAATTTTCTCACTATATTCTATTGATTTTTGCCTAATTTATCATATTTAAGGTTTTCTGACTTACTAATCAGGAAATTCTAGGATATATTTATATAGATATTGAGATCGAAAAAAAAGGCACCTAAGGTAACTAACTGCTAAATTATTTATACCCTATCCTCTAGTAAATAAATACCCTCTTAAGCATCCTTATTACTATTAAATATATGTTTCAGCTCCTAAAAATATATATACTCCGGAGTACAGATATTATAATATCTTCTTCTTTGGCCCAGGAAGGCAAAGGTAAGCACCGAGATGATGTATCCATAGCAATACTGAACAAGTGTCGTGGTACGACAGAGTATCCTTGTCGGGAGCACCTTCATCGATGGAAGTATGGATGATCCAATCCCCGGTCACATGGATAATCCATGACACAGTCACGTGTATGGATAATCCATCTTATGTACGTAGATGGAGGATCCTTCAAGGTTTCCTCATCAAGCTTTTTTTAAAAAGGACTCCCTCGACCTCGAGGAACTTAGGAAATACAACCATCTTACGACCAGGACTCCTACCTCCCATTACGCGATTTTCATTGATTCCCTTGCCAATTTCCTGTAGTTCATCCCCTGTGTTCGATACATTGTGTTTTGTGGTGACAAGGCCGCGATTCTCGCGGAGCCTTGGAGCCCTGGTTGACTCGTATCGCCATCTTCGTGCTTTCTCTGTGTCTTCTCCTGTCTCTTGTCCCCGGTATCCGGGAGAATTTCTGTGCGGTTTCTTGCGTTTTCTGCATTCTGCTGTGTTTCCTTGTCCAGGATTATGTCCTGAGAACGTCAGGTCTAGTGCTTCAATCTCCTCTTCTCTTGTTTTCCATTGCTTCTCAAATTCCCAGCGATCTGCTGCTCTCTTTGCTTCACCCTTTCTCTTGTCGCGCTGGATCCTCGACGGGGGTGCGAGAGCGGGGTCTCAGAGACCTCAGACGGAAGGATCCCAATTAGGAAGGAACTCCTCGAGATCAACCGCCAAACGCCCTAAGCTCATTCGACAAGATCTTCCTCTTTCCCTTTCTTCTCCAATAGCGTCAGTCCCATTATGAGTCACTAGCTAGCAAAGCTTTGCTAAAACCTCTAGGTACCTGGTAGTTCGACATCTGTTCTTGGCTACAGGATATCGTCATCATTAACAAATTGATTATCAAATATACAGCACTAAGCCCCTTATAAATTCAAGTTCTTCAATCAGAATACCCTTCTCTGTCTAAACTGAATCAAAAGGGCTACATTATCAAGATATTATCGCAAGCATGGGGGCACCCCGGGAGCCAGAATGGCCCCCCTCCCCATCCCAACGGACGCGACCTGATCCTGCCAAGGTAAAGAGGGCCATGGAGGAACGGCGCCGAATTCGGGCACTGCCCTATGAAGAGATCTGCAAGCGGGCTGAGGCCAATTTCCCTGGTTGGGGTGAGTGATTATTCCTAGCTATATGTCTTAAGGATATAATATCGCTAACAGATATATTTAGTTTCCGAACCTGATATTTGTTACGACGAGGGCCAGGACATTGAATGGGAGGAAAAATCGTTTGGCAAAGGTTGAAAGGAAGAGGACAACTGAGCATTTATTTCGTGTATATTCACGCCTGCGACGTTTCGCTGGACGTGGTTGTCCCTCGATATCTGTGGATCCCAATGCTGTAGCCTCAACATAATTCTCGTCGTGGGAGTTATCTGAGGTAACCGTGTCGGAGTCATCCTCTTGAGCAGAGTCTTTGCAAGGGTGGCTGTGGGAGTCACTGGGAGCCTCCCTGTCAACATCACCATCGATTGTAGGCCGCATGACGCCCCGAGTTATCTTCTGAGCCCTCTGCAGTGTGGCCGGTATGACAACAGAAAGTTTTGGGGCCTTTCCAGGAATGATGCCAACTGACTGGCATCTAAACCTGTTAACATAATTGGTGTGCCTCTCCTGTAAGATATGCTGCATCTCTTTAGAAAAGGAGTTATAGTACCTTCTCTCTTCAGTATCTGTTTCTCCTTGATTAAAACCAGACACCTTATCTATGTATTAATTTGGATTATTGCTGCGTCTTCTATACCAGTATACCAGCCATCTAAGCATTTACTATTATGACCTGGAACTGTTGCTTGCCTTAGATTTATATTATTTTTCATCTTGGATAAACCTGATAAAGGTATCTTAATATTTATATAGATGTAGCCTATAATTTCATAATTAGTAAGTCAAAAAAACCTCAAAATATGACTAATTAGGTAAAAATTAATAGAATCCAGTAATAAAATCAAGTATTTTAGTAGTTTGATAGGCTTCTAATACAAAAGTTAGAAATTTTTATGAGTTTGGGTGCCAGGACTGCACCAATATTTGCATACGCGAAATCAAGATCGCAGTAATCAGGGCACGTGTACCCAATTCTAACATCAGGCAGGTGTATCATGGTTGACACGATAAATGACAACGATGCTGAACTTTGGAATGTGAAATAGCTTTCAATTTAAAGATGAGATGATTCGTAGAATTCCACCATTTCTGATTAAAAATGCAAATAGGTCCCCCCGTCAGCTCCGTCTTCCGGTTCAAAGCGAGGGGACCAGCAGCCAATGAATGCATTACACTTTTCAGGTTGAGGATTACGAGTACAGTGTTTCCAAGCAGAGCAACTACAGCAGTCGATCCGACGTCGCACAAACCCCGTACTGCCGTCTAACAGTCTCTCCGCATTACGGAGTATTCTTGCCCGGAGGCTGATCGCACATTGCGGGGTTTTGCATCCCCGACTGATCGACTAGTCCGTACAGAGTACATACTTCAGGCTGGAGTACGGAGTATGAATTATGGAGCAGTAGTCAACGAGAGCTTACGCCATTCCCATGTGTCAACGACACAACGCAAAAAGCCTCTATACGAGAATCAGCCAGCGCGAAACACCCTTTTTTATACCCAAACAGGTATTCCGGACTTGTGGCGTCAGGATGACTGGCTGAAAGCTGGCGTTCTTGCAGAAACTACGATTTAGCTTCGAGCCGTTTCCACCCCGTCGGTGCCACGTGCTACTTTCAGCCTGTCAGTCGCCCAGCCCAGCATGGATTATGATGACTGACACGGAGTACAATGAATGCACTTGCCCGCAGCCTCGATCTGGAAGGCAGCCATCCGCCATCATTTCTGTAACGATGGCGCCCAAATTAGAATCTTGGTGTGACATGGTACTAGGTTTCCTAGGGCATCTGTAGATTGATCATCCGTTGTGGTTGGGGCCTTGCAAGCTTATTCTGCTTTTGTTGGGAAGTTTCACTCAATTTAGCCTGCAAGGTGGATACGCATGCGATGGAGGGAATCTGATTGCCTTGGATGCAGGCGCAGCTGTTGGGCATACCTGTCACCCCGATATCGGCAGGGGACGTCAAAAACAAAGTCGATAGATAAAAGCAAGATGGAGCGGTTAGCATTGGGATTGACATATGCTATTTTCAGACCGCCGCAAGGAGACGATCATGGTGATTGTTTCAGAAGGATTTGCCTTGGGGTCTGGTTCTGTCAGGACTCCAGACGCTCGGATTGAGCTGCACGCCGCGGATAGCCTGGCCAGCTGCTATATTATTAGTTAGATCGCGTAGATATCTGTCAACCATCTCAGGATCAAGACAGCGAGAATCAGAGTCGTTGTGATAGTAATAATAAAACGCAGACGTGCGGAATAAATCTTGATCCATCTTTTTGGTCCTCCCTGTGGGGATGGCCGTCAGTGCGTGGATAGTCGACCCAAGGACTCGAGATCTGCATACAGGACATACCAACTGTGGGAGAAGCGTGTTCTTGCTGATTCGTAGGGGCGTTCGGAGAACTCCGGCCGGTACGCGCGATACGTGGATATACTCCGTCGTTAGCAATGCGGTGGGAATTCGCGCGGGCAGACCTGAAACAGACACGATGAAACGAGTGCTTTATTCCGAAAGCGGATCCCATCGTCTCCTGGCGACTCCATCGACGCTCCCCCACTGCCTGAATATGGAGCGCAGACCCACGCAGGAACTGGGTGAGTCGAATCTAATTGCCGGGCGGATCGTGCGTGCGGCCCGCGTCAAGGGACGGCCAAAACACCTCCAGTCCAGCGTCACATCGGCGTGAAGCCTCGTGCCCGTGTGGTCGCATTGCTCCATCCTCGCTCCCTCCCTCGACAACCCACTGCTCGCCCGCTCTCTGCTTCTCCCACTGCTCCATCCCGCACGCCGGAGCGCGACGGTCCGTTCGTTCTTTTCTCGATCCTCGCCCGCCCTTCCATCCTGCGCCGAGGCGTGACCAAGTTCCCATTTAAGCAGGCTTCGCGAATGACACCCCTCCCTGCCAGCCCTCGAGCATCCGTCTAGATCTCATCCTGACGAGCTGTCGCTGCTGTTCCCTTGGGGACTGACTCGAGATTGCGCAATTAACTGACAGGTGCTGGCACACCCGTCGCCCCATCCGCTTAAACTATACTGTACAGACCTGTGAACAGCCCCCCCATCCGTCGGGATAGCCAGCTAATATCACACCCGCTCTCTATCTAGCTCCGCTCGTAGCTATCCTTTATCGCGGCCTAACCTTGTTCACGCCCGATTAATATTTATCCTGCTGGCGACACCGTATCTGCCCTGCCTCGTCCGAGCGAACAGTTACGCTGGTGCCGTTGCTTCTCCAGATCATCTACGTGCCTCGTTCCTGCGACCACGCTCTCGTGTGTAGAGCGTATTATTAATTATATACAGGCCGGTGGATGCCTTCTCGGCCGAATCATGATGGCGGCACAACCCTTGGTGGTCGACACGAAGGTGGTCGATACGAACAGCCATGATGTCGACCAAAACCATATAAACGACGAGGTCGACGAGGAAGAAGAAGACATTGCATCTGATCTGGACCAGCCAAACAATGAGCCCAATGAGCCAGGGCCGCAGATAGACCCACTTGACGACTTCCTCAAGCCCCTCGTCCTGGACGAAGGAATCCTCTACAATCTGGCCCGTCGTTTTTCCGAAGTATATCGGCATCTCGCCCTGACCTCGGACCAACAGTTTCTTCCCACTCCGGTAACGCGACTGCCCACTGGGGAAGAAGTTGGCCGTTATCTGGCCATCGACGTCGGCGGCAGCAATCTCAGAGTCGCCTTCATCGAACTGCTGGGCGAAGATGCTGACTCCGATAAGGGTACCGCGGACGCATCCGACAAGTCACGTGATACGATCAGAAAGGCACAGAGGCCGCGTGTGAGGCGGACGTTGGAGAAAGCATGGCCGATCCAGGAGCATCTGAAGAAGGATAAAGCCGACGACCTGTTTTCATGGATCGGCGATTGCATTGCGGAGGTGGTGGCCGACAGTCTCACCTCGGATGCGACCAAAGGCGACATTCCGGACGAGCTAGAGATGGGCATCACTTTCAGCTTCCCTATCATGTACGTTTTGCCGTTGTATTATTGAAGGCGGTCTTTTGGTTGCTTGTCTAGAATCGTTCCAGACTGACACCAAGGCAGGCAGGAATCAGTCACGGAAGCCACCTTGATGCCAATGGGCAAGGGTTTCGCCATCACGTCCGATCTCAACCTCCGTAATATGCTCCTCTCGGGCTATGAGAAGCATACGAGACGTCCCGACGAAGAAGAGGAACCGTCGTCCAAGCGGCGGAAACTCTTCGCGTTACCAAAGTTGAAGATTACCGCCATCACCAATGACACTGTTGCAACGCTTATTTCTTTGGCATACAGCGTAAAGTCTTTACCAAACAGTCGAGTAGCGATGGGTATAATTGTCGGGACCGGCTGTAACGCTACGATCCCAATGCGACTGTCAGATCTCCACGAGTCTAAAGCCAGACTGGTCAATTCCAAAGATCCAGAAGCCACCCAGACTGTGGTTAATACAGAATGGACGATTTCCGGTGCGGCGCCGCCCCTTAAGGAGCTGAACATCACCACAAAGTGGGATACCCAACTAGATAACGCATGCGCTCGCCCTGGCTTCCAGCCCTTTGAGTACATGACCGGTGGCCGGTACATCGGAGAACTGGTTCGCATCGTGCTGTTCGATTACCTCACCACCGTGGTTGGGCTCTCCAAGAAAGACCTCCCTGCTGCGCTGGTGCAGGAATACGCTTTGAACACCACATTCCTATCAGAGAAGGTTGCTCGGAGCCGATCAGATCAGGAATTGGCCACCGAGTTGGCACGGTCCCTTCCACCACCCGAGTCAAGCGACTGGAATTGGGATGCACACTCTGCAGGAGCGTTCCGGAAGATAGCCAGGGCCGTCCAGACACGGTCGGCAGGGCTCATCGCTGCGGCAGTTGTTGGGCTTCTTGCGTGTACGCGCGAGATCCAGCTGAAGGACGACAGTACCCGGAATTCACCACAACCTGCGCAGGAGAATCCTGTCGCCTATCAGGGAGACGTCAAGACCCAGACGGGGTCGAACAACCTGGCTCCCAATAATGGAGGTGCCGATTCGGCAAAAGCACCCCGGGGCCCCATCGTCCCCGTTCTGTCTCCCGCCCCTGCCGACTGGCATTCAGGCCCGGAGGAGCTGGTGGTCGCTTACACGGGCGGCATTATTCAAAATTACCCCAACTTCAAGGAGATGTGTCAGACTTACATCGATCGACTGATCATGAGAACCGGTCCTCAGAAAGGCGGCAAGTCTGTCTTCCTTCGCGAAGCTTCAGATGGTGGTGTTATCGGTGCTGGCGTTCTAGCCGGGATGGTGGCTGGCCGATGAGAGAGAAAAAATAATCTCGAACTATTATATATAAGTACACAGTATGAAAGCATGTTTATATCCTAAAAGGAGCGGGTGTTTCAGGAATGGTTTAGAATAATTGAATGTCTACGATCCTTTTTTTTTTCTTATTTAATTTTTGTTCTGGTTTTTCTTTTTTTTTCTGGTTTGGTTCTAATAAGTTCTACTATGTACTGTAGGACATACTACCTACCTACCTACCTACCTAGGTAAGTTAATACAGACCCGAGCTATTATTATAACTGCAGAAAGCAAGATAGAGAACCATACTCTTCACCATGGCACGCGTGTCATATGTCTGAAGAAGACGCCGTTGCGTCAAATCAAATCAGGCGGGACATATTCTCTAGATGAGGATATTAGAATCGCGTGCGATACAGATTATATATAGGTTATTAATATAAATAATATCAACCTTTCGAGGAGTCTGATCTGTTTGTCTTGATCTCAGATAGTCGTCCTCCAGCATACATGTAGTATCTTGATGCGCCAGTGACAAGCCTGGAGTGATTCAGACTTTTCGATGATATCCTTGATGTCATAATATTCAGGTATATGAAATAAGAGTAATACTACAGATTATCTTCACTATCGAAATCATTGAATATGTTCCTTCACCTCTCATTCGGTGTGAGATCACACTGTTGATGCCTCAGGCCGACGTCACCACGTGAGCTGCTGATTAATCAACCATCATCGATATCCGTCACCTGCCTCCGGGGGCTACCTATTTAAACCTGTCTCCCCCTCATCTGTGATTCATCCCCCACCGTGAAGATGAGCTCCCAGGCGTACTATGAGCTCTACCGCGGTAGCAGGTATTGTCAAAAGAAGCGTTTGAGATTGATTCGTACTCTTCCAGGTTCCGTGGGCTGACATCTTTGGCTTTTTATCTCACAGTCTCGGGCTCTCGCTCACCGACACGCTCGATGATCTGATCAACGAGGGTCGGATCGAGCCACAGCTGGCTATGAAGATCCTCTCCAACTATGACCGCGTTATCACGGAGGTTCTCGCGGACAAGGTTCGCGCTAGGCTGACTTTCAAGGTACATACTGCTTGTTTGCTCTGTAGTTTGATCACAGCGCGCATGGGATTCATTCATAATGCTGACGTGAATCCGTGCTGCAATAAAAAAGGGCCACCTTGACACCTACCGGTTCTGTGACGATGTCTGGACCTTCCTGATCAAGGACGTCACTTTCAAGCTGGATAACCAGTCGACTGTCCAGGCGGACAGAATAAAGATTGTCAGCTGCAACAGCAAGCGTCCAGGAGAGGCGTAATCGATTCAGTCTTTCTCTCACCTAGCCGTGACTTGCGGTGTGCTTTCTCAGTAGATTTGAGATGCACTTCAATAATAGGATGATGAGGATGGGTTGGTCAGCGGGTGTTGCTCATGATTCGGGTCTTATCTTGGTGGCGTTGTGGAATGGATACAATATCGGCTTTTCTTTATTATGGTTGGAGACTAGATACCCCGAAATAAATTGAACTGAGATAATATGTCCATTCTTTATTCTAAGGAAAATTGCGTAGTTTCGTTTGGAGTAGGCTCGTAGTTGTCGGTCAGGCAGCACTGAGCCGGTTTGGGAAACTTGATGTTGGCGTCCGCAACCGCGGCCGTGACCGCGTTTCGTACCACTCGCCGAGCACGGAGAAACTACCTATTCTTCCCCCGAGTAATGAAGGTCATCGTTTGATTCCATGTTCCAACAGGCCTTCGAGCGGCCTTGTCGACATGCCACGTTCGTTGCCATGGCTCGTTGGCGGAACAAATGACACGAAGCAGTCGGCCCCGCGCGCACGTCGCGTCAGTCGGGATGCCACTCCAAGTGGCAGTGATACTGCCAGGAAGGGGAGGTCTCCTGTCAGAGATACGCCTGGGAAGACCGACTTTCTGAGATCCTGTATGATTGTTTCCCCCTTATCCTCTACGCCACGCTCACACTCACTTTGCTGATGCGCGATTCTAGCTCGAAGCCCGTCCAGTTCCCCAATCCGACAGCCTCCGACGGAAGAGTCAGTATTTTTTTTTACCCTCAAATATCTCCGACTGAGTCGCTAATTTCGACTCCTAGGTTTCTCAGGGAAGGATTCGACAACGATGACATGTACATCATGGTCGAGGACGAGTTCTACGCCGTCGCGCAGACATTCACGCAACACCTACATCACGCGGAGTATGTGCGGCGGAAGAAGGAGGCAAAACTCAAAAATGCGACGGCCATCCAAGATCTGGAACGACCGACGGACGGCAAGACGATGATGAGGAAGGAGACCCAAAGGCAGAAGGAATCCGAGGCGCTGGCTTCCCGCCAGAGAAAGGGCCTTGACGAAATAAGAGGCAAGCGGCCGCGGGTCGATTCGGAAGAGGAGGACAGCGATCTCGAGGAGGATCGCGACGATGATCCTTGGGTTGGCACGTCTTTGCACACCCTCATGACCAGCCCGAGAAAGTCTAGGTCGTTGCTTGGGCTTCAGGGGATCAAGTCTAGCACTAGAGCTGCAGCTGGATACGGGCAGGCATCTGGACCGAATCGAAGAGATGATAGGCGCCAGCCATCGCCTGAACCACGCCGACAACAAGAGTCGCACACTGTCAACGTCGACGAGACAGCTTCGGAGGATGATGATGACCTCGAAATCACCAAAGTCACCACTTCGAAAGCTACTCCAATCCATAAGGTCCATTCAAAAGAACAAGCACCAGTGAAGAGAGAGATTTCGACTACACCTACAAAGGAGGAAAAGCCTGATGTTGGAAAGGGCAAGGGTTACTATTCCGAGAAGAAAGCGGCGACAAGTTCCAACCGCACTACATACAGTACTGCGGCTAGTAGCTCGAAGGTGAATAGCAGGAAGAAAATGCTTCTTGAAGATTTGGACGATTTTCCCGAGACAAATGAGAAGAAACCCAATGGTAGAATACAGGACCAGCCTCGAAGGTCATCATCTGCGGCGCCTTCCCCGAGTCGACCTCAAGAGAAGGACTCCAAGAAATCTCGTTTCAGTGAAGTGCCAACGTTTCTGGTGTGAGTGATATTACAATCATATATTAAAAAATCAGTCGAAATAGCTTTCCGACTGTAAGGTGAGAATCCTCCGAAAAGAACCTGCCCGCGTTTCATCCATCATACAGAAGAGAGAAAAAAAAAAGAATCAAGACAGCGCGGTTTGCGGTAAGATTACGACATTGTCGTATCTCATCATCATCGTATTGCCCGTGGCAGATTCTGCCGGGTCCTACGCAGTGAGCTTCGCACCCAGCCGCTGGACGTGTTGCTTGAGCTTGTCTCTCTTGGAGGCTTTGCGCTGGACAGCGCCTTCGGCCGCCTCCTTCTCCGGCAGGAGGCCATGGCTGTCATGGTCGGTCAGCGTTCTATAGATATTTGTGGAGAGTCAGGAACACCGCGATCACATATTTTCACTTTCGAGAGCTTTGGGGAGACTAACTCGGAGTCCGAGAGGGGCATCGCGAACTCTTCCTTTCGGAAGTTGGTTGGAGGTCCCTGAAATTCAACAACCGATCAGCTTCGAGTTAGCTAGGCAGGTTCCAGTCGAGAGATGCTTACAATCTCCAGGATTCTTTCTTCTCGTTTGCGCTGGAACGGCGACTTCAGCCACCGGAACACTGGTCGGAAGCAGCCGATCATCATGGTGGAATATCACGTCGTGTCAGTTGTGTCAAGCAGAGCGATAGCAAGATACAGAGTGTATTGGAAGTCTTTTTTTGGGCCTCAAATGAATGTCTATGTCGAGGAAATCGTTCTTGGATATGCCGCTGAGTTCGTCGTCAATTCGTGCAAAACGCAACGCGAGATGGTCGTGCTAGTCGTGCTATGCTGATGCTGAATGACGATGATATGCAATGCAAGGCGAGCGAGCGATGCGATGCGAAACGAGTAGCAAACGACACGTGCAGAAAACCGACAGCAAGACAACACACACACACACACACAACGCAGAAATAACGAATGAATAATGACTATATACGTTCAAGTCATGAAGAAAGCAGGAGATGTGGTGCTTAGTTAGAGGAAGGAGAAAGCTGAGAAGCTACTTCTTATGTGATTATATATAAGAAATGATTACGAATTACGTTACACACCAGGCAGTCGTCACTCGTCAGCCCTGGATCCAATAAAATAAGACGGGTGTTTCCTAGGCGAGAAGAGAGAATTCTTTCGCCAGGATACCTATGCGCGTCTGTATGCGTATGCCCTATGCGGATATAGTATAGGCAAGTTAAGTTGTCAGTGGCAACCTCAAATACGGACACGGACACGGCGCCGTCTCAAGAAGACGATTGGATTCGGCAAGGCGAGGCAAGGGCTTGCGTGCAAGTCTGTCTTGTCTTGTCATGAAACGGGGAAACGGTCCTGTCGTGTCGTGTCGTGTCGTGCCGTGTCACTGCAGGGCAGGCCAGGCGATGCGCTGAATGTCCATACCTACGTAGCCAGGTAGCACCGTAGCTAGTAGCTACCAGTACCTAGGCAGGCGCCTGTCTGCAGGGGCAATTGCCAATAATCCTCTTACATAGCAGCCCTTGCCCTAGCCCTGTAATACATAACGGTGCAAGCCAATGGGCGTGCCGTGCCAAAGGGATAAAGAAGTAGAGTAATCCACCAGTCAAGGAGTTTGACGTGTTGAAGATGCAGACCACATTCCATCTCCAATCCAATCTAATCCAATCCAATCCTCCCTTCCTCGTGCAGGGGTTCTTGGCATGGCCTTGCTGCACAGTTGCACCAATGGTGTCGACTCCTAGGGTCAGTGGTGACTGCTGTCAGGACTCAGCTGGGGATGGATCCGTTTCCAGGGAGAGAGAGAGAGAAGTAGTGCTGAATATGGGGGGAGTATTATGGATGAAGAACTGTCCAGGACTCGATAGTCGATGACGATACTGGAGAGAGTTTTAATTAAAGTTAGTTTAAATGCCTGCCCTTTCTTCTAGGTACTGGCATACAGACAGTACAGGATAATACAGACTGTCTTTCTAGTAGTCTACCTTGTCTACCCCATATTATTGCGCCTATTGTAGTACCAAAAATAAGTACCATTTACACTCTTCATTATATGAAATATCAGGTCTTGTAATACTGTATACAGTATCCTGATTCCTATCAGGAATAAACCCATCTTAGACACTTAGGTAGCCGGTAAGGTATAGTATAAAGTACTCCATATTCTCCATACACAGGCATGTAGGCATGTAGGTATGGAAACCTTCCATGCCTTCCATGCATATTCCATTCATTCCTCACCACAGGTCCTTGACGATTGAATCCATCTATTTAATGTACGCAATTAACGGTCCCATCCCTGAATTCATTCCATCTTAAATTAAATTAAGTTAAAGAGTAACGACATACATACATATCGACATTATACGACACGACTTGACGATGGTATCCATCCCATGCCCATGTCCTTGGTGACGAAACAAAAGTCTATTATCCAGATGGTAGAACATGTTATATATATTACCAATAGATATTACCAATATACGGCTAAGTGCAACAGTCCTGACAGACGACCAATAATTTTTACCTCAATTCACCTATTACCCATCAAACAAAATTAATCCAATATTATTCCCTAAAAGAATTCCCACAGGGAGAGTGTTTGACTGACGCGAAACAATTTTTAAAAGAGAAAAAAAAAACTTCAGTTTGTCCGTTTTTAGATTAGAGAGAGATTAATTTATGTACGTCCTGACTGACTCCCTTGCATCGGCAAAACTTCAACTCTCGTACTACTTACTTTGGTAATTGGCTGCATTCCAAGGGAGAATAATAATAAACAATATTTCCTGGATGGATACCTCTGCCTTGTCTCGTGACTTGTCTCGTGACTAACTTTCGCGACATTACTGCGGGAACTGCCATATATACATGTTTTTCAGTTTATATTAGCTGTCGACTCTGCAGGCCACCCATTGACAACACTATACTCATCCAACGGCGTCACGCCGTGCAGGACGTCATAATGCCGCCTGTCCCCGCAAGCTGCATCAGAAACCGAGCAGTTTGATGATAGGATCTCTCCTGCAATCCGCAGCCCGGCATCTCGTCCCTCGAACCACGCGCCGTGCAGAAACCCAAAGTACGCCGCGCTCGTCGCCTCGCCCGCAAACCACAGCCGGCCCACGTTGGCGCGCAGGTTCTCGTGCATCTGCAGCGTCGTCGCCGGCGGCCAGTTCGAGTAGCTGCCGTAGGCCCAGGGCTCGGTACTCCAGCGCGGATAGAGGAAGTCAATCGGCTCGGGGATGTCGTCGACGTCGGGAAACATCTGGCGCAGCACGGCCAGCACCTCGGCTTTTGTCTGCTCGTCCGATTGCTTCTCTACGCGATACGACTCGGTGTTGACGACCGTGACGAAGAGGATGTTCGACCCCGGCAGAAACCCGTCCGTAGAGAGGGACTGCCACACTGGGTAGTGACCCCTGGTCGTCGGCGAGGCATACAGCAGAAACTGCCGGTCCGTCGGCCAGAAGGTCTCGTTGAACTGGAGGAAGATCTTGGTGTACGTGCCCATCTGGAACGTCGCGATGGCGGTTCGTTTCCAGTCGGGTAGCTCCGGGCTGAACGAGACGGTGTCGTTTTGCAGCACGCCCAGTGAAAAAGTGCAGATGGCGTACGCCGCGCGGATGCAGCTCCCGTCGCTGTTGAGGACCGTCACGCCGTCGTCGGAATAGCTGATGTTGGTCACGCGGGTGTTGAGCAGGAGGCGAGGATCCCCCGGACGGAGAAAGGTCGCCGCTTCCTGCTTGATGATGGTGTTGAAGCCGCGCTGGTCGAGGACGAAGTTGTTCTCGTCGCTGAACTGGTTGTAGGTGAGATTCTGGCCTGTGATGCCGAAGACGAGCGAGCTCTCTTCGGGCGGGTAGGCGCTCTCCCAGTCTGTATCAGTTAGCTTCAACGTAAATTAATCAACGTAAATTAAAGAAAGCTTCAGATCACACACCCCACTCCCACCACTCGACCGCCTGCGCAGCCATGTTCTTCTTCGGCTTCCAGCCTGCCAGGCCGAGTCCCGCCCGGGCGGTTTGGTCCTGGAGGTTCTGCTTCAGAATGGACCCGGCATGTGCGGCGGCGATGACATATGCGTCATCGAAGGAGTCCAGCAGGGCGCTGTAGTCGGAGAAGCCGGTCTCGTTGTATGTCGAGATGGAGCTGTAGTTGGAGTACGTGTTGGTCAGGTTGTATTTCTTAGCCTGGGCAGGTTAGCATGCATCTCAAGTATCGAATGACAGCAGTACCAATGTCCAGACGGGATTCTCTGGATATACATCGTCATGGTTAGCATCTAATCGAGCAATAAATAAAAAGAAGAAGAAGAAGAAGAAGAAGAAAAGAAACCTACCCGGCCCACCAGGTCTCCCAAGACCTTGAATCTGCAGCATTGCAGCGATACAAAGTCAGGAGCAATTCCATCACAATGTCCATATTTTTGTCCAACGCACCCAATTCGCCCCTAGCTCGACGACGTAAGACGACCCGTCTTCCTTTTTCCCAAAATTGGCGTGTTTCACCCGGCCCCCGATGTCATCTTGGTACTCGACGATGAGAAAATCCGTGATGGAGGCGTTTGATAGGGCTTGCTGAACTTGTGAGAGTAGTTCTTTTTTTTAAAAAAAAAGAATAGAAAGAAAGAAAGAAAGAAAGGCGTTTCGAAAGCTTACAGCGGCTGTAATCCCCGCCATTCCGGCTCCCCTAATAGAGCATCTATCTGTTAGCGTATATAATATAACATCCCCTTCGTAGAAGTAGGTAGGTAGAGGTGACATTGACATACAAAATCGCAACCGTGGTCTGCCTACACTCCCCTTCCTTGGGCGGGACGTCAGACCGGGGGACGGCGTATCCCATGCAATCCTGCACAAACCCGCCTATGGACCAGGCCAGCCATATTGCGGGTGCTAGGAATTGTCTTGCGAGATGCATCTAGATGGGTAGAAGAGAAGAGGCGTATATACAGACTGTATATAAATATATGGCCAGGGAGAGAGAGAAAAGCGAGAGGGGATTTATTTCCATTCTCATATATATACCTACTGATCCATGAACAAGAAACTTTCCCTCAAAAAGAATCATCCATCGACAAATGGAGCTAGGAAGTTTGGGGGCAGTAGTCAATAATCCATCGAAGCTCGTTCTCGTACAGTATAGATAACGTAATCAATCACCGAGCGAAACAGATCACCGAGCGAAACACCCCACCAAACTACGCGACGCGCTCATCAACTTCAACCACCAAAATGCCACGCAAAACAGCAGATTCAGCAGTTCATCAAGAGGGCCGTATCTTGCTTGCAATTAAAGCTTTCAATGATGGTCAATTTAAAAGCATACGGGCTGCTGCACAGGCATATAATGTGCCACATCCAACACTCTACCACCGCCTACGCGGGCGTACTGCACGCGTAGATGCAACACCAAACAGCAAAAAGCTCACTACCACTGAAGAATCTATGCTTGTCAAATGGATATTATCTATGGACCAACGGGGACTACCACCACGAATCACCATTG